AACTCCACAAAGTTGGCTAATTGGTACTATTAAACCTATATATAAAAATAAAGGCGACTTTAAAGATCCAAAGAATTATAGACCAATCACTATTGTTAGTTGCTTTGGAAAACTATTTACTGGAATCCTAAATAAATGACTAAATGATTTTTCAGACGAATTTATTATCATACAAGAAAACCAGAGGGGTTTTCGTCAAATGTATTCTACTACTGTAACAGATAATATGTTTACCTCATATTCTTTTTTTGAATTATTGAAATGTAAGAAGAAGAAACTATATTGTGCCTTTATAGAAGGCATTTGACACTGTATGGCGAGTTGGTTTGTTTTATAAAATGTTATTGAATAAATTAAAATGGTAAGATATATAATGTAATATATTACTAATTTGTATATTCTGACTAATTTCATTCTTTCAGGAATAGTCACATGTTAAACTATATTTTCAAATGTCGATTGAAAACGGCGGATAGAAAAGTGATATTGCACGGTTATTTCTAGGATATCTAAAAACCGATATATTTTTTGTGACGTCATCTAATGAATTTTATGATATTGTTTAAGGACAAAAAAAAGTGTATACTTATGATCGATTATTTGAAAAAAAAAAATCTTCAAATACATCAGATATACACAAAAAAAAAAAAATAACCCATAAAAATGATTGAAATAACAACGAATATGTTGTTATTGTCAAAGAGACAATATGATATCTATAAAATTCCAACAAAATTAAATGATCGAAAAAAGAGAATATAATGCAATGACGAGTTTGATACAAATATGATCGGAAATTAATAATAACAATTATAGCCTTTGTATGAGGTCAATACAGGATATATCGACCCAAAGAAGTATATCGACCTTGGACTTCGTCCTCAGTCAATAAACTTCTTTTAGGTCAATGTATCCTTGTATCGACCTCATACAAAGGCTACAATTGTATAATATTGAATATGTACAGTGATATTAAATCTCGTATATCATAATAATTGTAATTCGGAATACTTTGCTTGTGACAATGGTGTACGACAAGGAGAAAACTTATCACCATCCGGTCGACATAGATATAAAAGTTCGAGCAGTATTATTTTGGGCAAATTTGATATCCGTCAAACAAGCAAAGTTTTACTTTATATTATATCAACTTTCTCGCCATATGAACGCTCATCATATAACATACAGACTAAATGGATTCTGTTTGTCAAAAAAATATTTCAAGATTGTGGTTTCTCATATATATGGGAAACACAAAATTTCATTAATAAAGATAGGTTAAAAACTGTTATAAAGCAAAGATTGTTTGACCAGTTTCTTCAGAATTGGAATTCCCTTATCCAAAATTCGTCAAAAGCTATTTACTACAACATTTTTAAGAAAAACCGTGAATTTGAGGAATATTTTAATATTTTGGACTTTAAAGATGCCGTTGTTCTTTGTCGATTTCGAACGACTAATAACAAATTGCCGATTGAAACAGGAAGGTGGCAAAAAGTATTAAGAGAAAACCGTTTTTGCCATCAATGTAATAATCGACAAATTGGAGACGAATATCACTATATATTTGAATGTACTTTTTTCGATCAAAAACGTAAAGAGTATTTATCCTCCTATTTTGTACAACGACATAATACAATTAAATTCTCTGAACTTCTGTCGAGTACACGAAAACCAGTCCTGAAGAAGCTTTGTTCATTTATAAAAACGATTAATACTTTTGTTTGTCCTCCTGGCTAGTGACTTTTGTAACCTCTCTCCTTGTTTTGTATATATTGTAAATAGTTACTGTTGTTATATCTGTACTTATGTCATGCATTGGCTTTATGAGAATAAAGATATATATAAAGCATAAGAAAAAGTAGCGGTAGTTCCGGGTTGCGATTTGGGGGGATGACGCGGCTGTGGATAACAGGGATCTAAACATCCAAAGGTGCGTATTAATTACCGGCTTATCGGAACGATAGGGATTGATTGGATTTTGATAGCTTACAGTCCAGTGGCATATATCACAATATAATACTTGAAATTCATTGTTATGCAGTTGTTCGACTTGACCAGCGACATATTATTTATTTATTTCACAATTGACAACAAAATGCGACTCAAACAAAAATATTAAAAGATGTCGACGCTCAGATAAACTACTAAAACTGTTTAATAGAAGTCGACCAATTCAGCTTATTTCGGCATGTCAATTCTAGTTCCTACTTAAGTGAAGCTCATAAGTGGAAGAAAAGTCCACGGTTAAGTTTATTCTGCAGCTTTTATACCTCAAGAAATCTCTTTTCCGCTTTTGAAATTAGAACAAAGTGGCTTTCTCATTTTTAAAGTTGAAGTATTTGAATAATAGTATTTGTAAATGCGTAAAATGTATATTTTCAAAAACATTTCAGGGGCTCTACACATTTAATTAAAGAAGTCCTAAACCATTCATTCTGAAAATTAACAATAATGTATGTAAATTCTAGAAGTTGCTACTCATTTGCATCATACACATTTGATTTTAGATAACCCTAAAGGATTCGATAGCTTTTTTTCTCGATCTAAAAATATAAACTTGAAAAGGTAAGTCAAATAATGTTTAAAAAGCTAAAATTTTATATTTCATTTTAATATACGAGTTCTGCAAATAATTTGAAGGATAAAAAACAACATTAGTGTATGTTGACTGAGTAACTATCTGATTTGTTTTAATCGGCAAATCCTCGGCATGTTTTTCTGGAAAATCCAAAATCCAAAATCCAATAATAATAAGTTTTTTTTTCTACTTACTAGTAATAAAGAACTTTGATTATCATTTATATAGATCGCCAACTTTAATAGAGTGCAACGAAAATGGAATTTCGATTTTTTTAATTACCGAACCATGTGACGAAATACGTCCGATCAGTCAAACGTACGGACCCGTCATCCATCAGGATATGTCAAGTCAAGGTCTGACATGACTTTGACAAATCGTTGACGTGACTTCGACTTCACTTTAGACTGGTACCCGGCCGTTATTGAAAATCTTGACATACTGAATATTTTACGGAAGGAACGTGTGTTATGGGTAGATTTTTCATTAATGACTATTTACAAAGGTATCTTAAGGAAAATTCAGTAAACGTTTGGAAATATTCCGCCCGGTAGTTTCAGAGACGAATATTTTGATATAGTATTCGACGACGACGAATGACGAATGACGCCAGGTGTGGCATTATCTCACTTTGGACCAGGACAGCCTAAAAGCACATAATTTATGTTTAAAAACAAGTACAAATAGTGAGTTTATACTGTACTGTTTCCTCGTTCCAGAAATTACTTAGTTTCAGAAAACTGAAAAATGCCAGCTCTGAAGAACACATATGTTAGTACAGTAATTAAAATAGTATGCCCTATATGTAACTGAAAGAAAAAATAATACTTTGATAGTACTGGAATAGGTTTGTTTTTGATGAGTATGTAGAAATTAAATACTTATAATCCTTTTATAGCTGACTATGTGGTATTGGTTGTTCTCATTGTTGAAGGCCGTATGATGACATATATATGTTAATTTTTGTGTCATTTGGTCTCTTGCGGATAGTTGTCTCAATGGCAATCATGCCAAATCTTCTTATTTTTATACTAAACAGAAATGATGAAATGTTTTAAAACAGAACTGAAAAGACAATACCGAATCCATGCAACATCTAATTGTACAACTTGGGAGTATGTTTTGGCGTTAATGAAGTAACAGAGAGAATAATATTTCATTTTAATTCTATTCTATACATATACATATCATATGCATTATAAGAGAGTAGAAATGTACAAGCAGATTGTATAGTTTGCAGTTTGTTTTTAAGGTGTGCAATTATGTAAATTTTGTTCCATTTTTAATCGGTTGCTCCTGGGCAGATGCTTTATATTAAAGAAGATATTACATTCTTCATTTGTTCAAGAAATACCAGATTAAATTATAGGAAAATGTAAAATAACAAAAATACCGAACTCAAAGGAAAATTCAAAACGGAAAGTTGTTTATCAAACGGCAAAATCAAAATATAAAACACATCAAACGAATGGAAAACAACTCTAATGTTCTGGACTTGGTATATGTAGAAAATGGTGGATTAAACCTAGTTTTATAATTAGCCAAACCTCTCACTTGTATGACAGTCGCATAGAATTCCATTTTATTGACAACAATGTGTGAGCAAAACAAACAGACATAATAGGTAAAATTGTCAAAAATTGAGATACAACAGTCAACATTGTGTTATCTTAATCACCATGAAACCAACAACAATATCAACAAAGAAAACAAAATGGAATATAGACACTCTATAGACAAAGCACATAAGCAAAAAAGAAAGACAAGAATACAAAACATTACCACAACACGATGGCGAAGAAACTTTTTTAAAGTTTAAATTTTCTTCAACAGTAATGAATACATGTATATATCCGTTCAACTTTCTAAAATTTATAATGAATGCAAACAACATGTACGATATAATGTTTTATAATAAAAAAAAAAATATGGATTTAATATCGAGAAATGATGAGAATTCAAATATTTTTATCTCCAGTTTTATGTCGATTTTATAAAAATTACTGTTTTAAGTAAATCTAAGTTAAAAATAACAAAGTTGTGGGCAGAATCTGATCAACATTAATTTTGCCTTAAGGTCCCCCATCCTATACAGTGATATCTAAAATATTGATGTAAGTGTTTCTCGCCGATATCCTTTGACAACCCCGAGAAACGTTTTTAAAAAGGATATTATCTGTAGGCGTATCTGTATCCCTTGTATTAAACACTAAACAGTTTTCCCGATGAATTTACATATGGTTCTTGCATCATGTATGAACTGATACAAAAAGAGGTGTTGATCTCCATGCACATTTAACATAACTAGAAACATACATGAACTTGTTTACCGAGCCTTCGTGAACTAGAAATGTATGTAGTACTTATCTTGTAAAAGTTTTGATAGATCAGATAAAAATTTATGATAACTGTATTTAACATGAAATACACTCTTCTAAATTCTTTCACGGTTTTAAAACTGTGGCTGTTTGTGAATTTATTAGGTAAGTTGAGAGAAGTTTTAAGAAAGGTAAGAACATACTAAATGTGAACTCAGGTGCAATGGATTAATTCAGGATTCACAAGGCCAAAATATTTAAAAATCAAAATCAACTGGAAACGGCGACTAGCTTATAAACCTAAAAAGACCAACGGTATAGCTAAGACATGAGCTTTGCATGACGAAGGTATACTCCTTAATAAAAAATAAAAACAATGACATGAAAAAAAAGAGTAAAACACTTTATGAATATACGAAGTTGAAAGTACCAACGGTCATCTGTTAAACATGTATTCCTTAACCGCCCACCACATCATGATGGGAACTTATAAACTTTCGGAAAGACATTTGCAACTTTACAATGAAGACCTTGGTTAAATAGCTCTCTTGTTGGCAGAAAAAAAACATCTCTTTAAGAAATTGTAAAAGCGCTGGAATATCGTTTTAACTTGAGAACATGGAGATATGCTTGAGCACATTGCTGCATAACAAAGAAAGTTTACAACGGGTAAAAGTAGTATGCATAGAGAATTACAAGATAATTGCTCATTATTTAATTTTACCAAAATATATATATAGCATATTATAAGAATTATTCTTATCGCTTTGTTTTACAGTTGCATGATTTCTAAACCGATAGACACGCTATTTTAGGAAGTATATTTTTTCGTTCACATTGGACATTCAGATACTCTGTATATGATAGTGTAAATATCATAAAGCATATCAATTCATTCTTGAAAACATTCAAATTTGTAATCGTTTTTATTTTTTCTTAAAACATAGTCGGAAGATGTAAAGGGCACATTTAATACTCACAAGTCGAAGAAAAATTGACAACGCCATGGCAAAAAATCCAAAGATCGACGAAATGATAAATAAGTACACAAAACACTACATAGGAAACTAGACTGAGCAACGCAAACTCTACAAAAAAAAGCGAGGGTGTAATCCGTAAGGGTAAGTAATTCCTACTCCCCGTGTGGTACCCATCGTGATGCTCATGCAAGCACACATGCGGTGATTGGTAGTGAACATACAGGTACCTGAAAGGAACCTTCGCAGTATAAGAAAACATTTACAAAATTATGAATAAAATGATTATCTTATTGATAATATAATAATAAGGAAACCAATATAAAACGATTCAGCTGTACAGTTAATCATTTTTTTTTTAATTGATAAATACTAAGTATACATATACTGTTACTTATCGGTAGGAGTAGTGTTTTTGGAATGTCCTTTAGGATGGCATCATTATGACAACTCCTGTTATTTGTTCAGTACCGACAGATATAACTGGTTGGATGCAGAGGTAAATGTTCTCTTTCTAAATGTATGCATATGAAATAACAACAAAAGGAAAGAAAAACACTAAAACTAGAATACTTTGGTTATCTTGGATAGCATATTTGATATTTATTTTTTAATCTTTACCCGACGAATCATTGCCATTACAGAAACAATATCCTTACACAAAAAAATCGGGCGACTATTCTGGTAACTAATTCTTAGACCGCGAAAACATGATATTATTGAGTTGACACAGAGGCACATCGTATCGATCAACTAGTTCGTGATGGTAACTAGAGAACTTTAAGTATGTGAGGATGTCAATTTGTCGTCAAAATCTTATTATAGGTTTGAGCGTTCATAATAAACTTTTTACTCAAGAAAAGTGCATCGGACGCAAGAAATTTATAAAGTATTATTTCCATTTAAAAGTATATACACCAGCGTTAACATTAAATGACCAGTTTTGTTTTGTATATAGAGCAGCTGCCGAGCACATGACGCCAGACTTGCAGAAGTTGTCTCTAAGAACCAATCAGACTACTTGATGAACATGGCAATTACTGTAGGGAAAGGTAAACTTTAAGCACACATGAAATACAAATTAATTTGTTCAACACTTTTAAAAGCATTCTCGGTACACAAAAAAAACTAAACTAAAAAAACTAAAAAAAAACTGTTTTTACATATAAGAGTTGAAGACGCTGTTCACAACTATAAAAAATACTGACACAGATTTTAAAGTTGTGTCAATCACAATTTCCTGAACAAACCTTACTTTATATCGGAACCGAATCGCGTTATGTATTTGTCAGTAAAACGAAAAAGAAATTGGATAGTTTTAAAAACGAGTTTTAAAAGAGTAAATGTAATTGTCAACAATCCTTAAGATTCTGAAATGGCAAATTAAATGAACTTGCGTTCGTTTTATATGAACTATATTGGCTTAGCGGTAGAGATTATGTAGCTGAATGAATTGGGTTAAAAAAATATATGATAGCTACTGGCTTGGAGGTAGAGATGATGCAATTAAATTTGTTTTAGATGAACGCCTGTGGCCAGGAAGTAGAGATGATGTTGCTTCTTTACGGAGCTTTTGATTAGGAGGTAGTGATGACGTAGTCGAATGAACTTTTTTTTTAGATGAAAGCAACAGCCACAGAGGTAGAGATAATGTAGTAAAATAAACTTGATTTTTAAAATTTTATTCAGATGACAGCCATTGGCTCAAAGGCAAAAAATAATGTAATGTTGAAAACTAGTTTTTTTTATATTGGCTTGGAGGTAGAGAGGATGCAGTTGAATGAAATTTTATTTTTGTTTTGATAAAATTTAATGGCCGGGTAGTAGAAATAATGTGATTGAAAGGACTGGCTTTTGTTTTACTTGAAAGTTATTGACTCGCAGGTCATGATGATGTAATCGAATGAACTTGTTTTTTGTATGTTTTAGATGAAAGTTATTGGCTGGGAGGTAGAGATGATGTTATTGAAGGAACTTGGATCTGGGCATCAACAGATAAAGTCTTTACATATACAGATTGGTATCCCGGTCAACCAAACAACTATAACAATAATGAAGACTGTTTGCACATGTACGCATCTTTTAACATGAAATGGAATGATTTTTCTTGCGCAGGTCTGAACGGATTTGTATGTGAAAAGAGGTGAGTTAAATATTTTTGGTCACGTTTGTAAAAGAACTTCAATAAAAACATTTCGTTTGCACACTTAAAGATAAAGTCAATATATGGATATGGTAAAATTACATTTCTTAGTTATTCTAAGAGGATCATCAATATCTTATAAACATTTTTACATCATTAGAATAGTTGTAAATTTCAAGCTTTGATTTTATCTGTAAAAAAAAGAAAACAACGCTTTATAAATTTCTTCCGTTGGAAGCTTTTTTATGGAGTCACATTCATCAGGAACGTTCAAAGCCGAACATTTGGAAGAACTTTAAAGAAAACAATAATTGCAAGACACTGGTTTGTTACTTGCTTTTGGCTCTCGATGTTAGAAATATCATTTAATGAATAAATAATTTTAACTTGTAGGTATCCAAGAACTACAAATGAACCTGAAATAATCGGTTAGAATAAAAATCAAAAGCTTTCTTACTTATGAATCTTTTGTTTATCTTTTGTTAATTAACGCATTTAGAGTATTCTCGCTTGTTCTTTGTAACTCAACTATATATGAGATAAAAAGAAAAAAAGCTACAAGATTAAGTTTTTGTTTTAAATTATTAGGCTATACTTTTTCTACCACTATTAATCTTTTAGGGTATAAGTTTACAAGTAATAATGTCAATAAGATGGCTTTAAAACATATATGTCCATTATCACTGAACTAGTATACATATTTTTTTAGGGGCCAGCTGAAGGACGCCTCCGGGTGCGGGAGTTTCTCGCTGCATTGAAGACCCATCGGTGGCCTTCGGCTGTTGTCTGCTCTATGTTCGGGTCGTTGTCTCTTTGACACATTCCTCATTTCCATTCTCAATTTTATCTGTCATTACATTTTGTTTTAAAATTGATTACTTGAAATTAGTTATTTAGAAATTTTGCGATTTTGTAAATGAAAATAACCCTTAAATAATTTTCGTACGTCCGAAACGCTTTTCCGGATTTGCCTTCATCCGGGAACAGTTAAACCTAAACATTTAAAAGCTAGGGATGTGTAAATACGTGAAAACGTTAGGAGCTATATGACAAAAAGGGACGTAAAAAGAATAGCCAAATAGTTTAAGGTCAAATTCGCTTGACGGAGCTGTAACCTTACTTTCTTAATAAATTTTTATTTTTTTAACCGGGACGTAAAGAATAGCATGCTGTAAACCATGTAAGTACCAAAGCACTGACTACAGAGCTTACAATACCATCGATAACTTAACACTTCACCACCAGCGGTATCGACCCAATGCTATCAAAAAAATTTAACATTTTATAAAGTGTGTGCTCACGAATCGCTTTTCTGGATTTACCTTCCTTAGGAACGCACGAACTTAAAGATTTGAAAGCCAAGGGATGTGTAAATACATGTACGTAGAAACGTTAGTGTATATACGACCAACAGGGACCAAATGAGAATAGCTCAGTTCATAAAGGGTCATTTTTTCATGAGGAACAGAGAATACTGAATTTCAACATAGCTTTACGCCTAACATATAGAACATATATGCAATACAAAACAATATCTTGTATTTTGTGCTATTTAGTTGTCGTACACTTGAAATCTAGATTTTCCAAATAAAATTGCAACAAATAAAGTGTCAAAAACAACGTTACTAGGATGCATCGACGATAATCACAGAACAAAACATCATTACGTTTATATATCTATGAATATAATTCCTCACATGATTTTATTTCTTCAAATACAATGTAAATCTCAAAATGAACATATTGGAGACCTTGATTGCTCTTTCTGTTCAATGTTTTTAGTAATGTCATAGAAATATCATTCAGGTTACAATTATCAGTTACCACGCTCTTAATGTGTTCATTTTTAGGATTCATTGTCCATTAGCACCAACACGTAAGACACAGTGTCTGGTTATACAAACATAATAATATACTTATAGTTATCATTTGCCCCGTATGCGAATTTGAGAAAAAGTGAGAAAAAGTTTTCTGCAGTGGCATTCGATATAAAATATTATAAGTTTGAAACTTTAACAAATATAGAGATAAAGTGAAAATTGTGCAAGTAAAATGCATTGTGAGAAAGCGTTTTACCACCAGTGAGTTTTTGGTCAAAATATGTAGTATTCTTAAAGAACTAAATGGCTAAAATTATTTACCAAGAGATTTCAGCGAACAAAAATAAACTAAAAAGTCTATTTTGTTGAGCAATTATGTAAAAAAAATTAAAGTAACACAGTCTAAGTATTTTATCACCGCAACCTTATTAACAAGACAATACCAATGGACAATTCATAAAAGCATTTAGGCGACGAAAAGGGCAACAACTTAGATAAAAAGCGAAAAGACATATCGAATTCTACAAAACATTACAAAGAAAACTAAAGGGAACACAATACCCACTAATGCAGAGAAAGATCTCTAGCAGTTAATGATCCACAAGAAGCAATCGAAGTGTAAAATTAAGTAAAAACGGATAAGAAGACTCATCAAAGGTACCAGGCTTTTTTGTATAGTTTGGTATATAAGTCCTGTATATAAGAATTGGTATATCCTGTAACATGTCAAAATCGACGAAAGCCTGACAGGAATCTAGCTAGAACAAATAGAACAAATATGCAATCGTCTTTGGCAGAGAAAATTCTGAGAGCAGACACAATGGACTATCTTTTCGTATAAAAAACTATTATTTCATATGGGGGATGTTAAATCTATATCAGTGTGATGTTGGAATGTTACTTATCAAAAGTAGAAAGTTATTGTATGAAAAAATGTTACACATTCTTTCATAACGATTATTCCTCGGCCAACCCTGACAATCGACTGACGGTTCACATTGTCATCGTTACGTGACACATATAGTTGTTTACCTCTGCATTTCTGCATTTTGTTTCTGGTGGAGAGTTGTTTCATTTGCAATCATACCACATCTTCTTATTTTTATATGTCAGATCTTATTATTACAATAGTGATGTTTTGGTTTGAGTGCATCGCCAAGGATGAGTCTCATTTAAAGGAAATGCGCATCTGGTGTATCAAATCAAAAGCCAGGTATCTCTAATAAGGTTCACATCTGTTTCGAGGAACAGGTTTTTGCTCGGAATTAGAGTTGTGGCCGATACAAGACTTCCCTCATTTAAGAATCAAAATACGACGACACCACGAGCAAAATTGATCCGTTCTGTCGACAGAAGTCGAATTTTATTAAAAAAGTCGACTGCATAAAAAGAGGAATGATAGCTAAAAAGAATCATGTTCACTGACCCGAAGGAAAGTTAACATTTTATGAATAAGGCTTCGGATTCCTCCTAGAATTCACATGGGAAAATAGGCAATCAAGTGAGATACCTTCTATCTATATATATGATAAGTGACCGCTGCATGTGTATGGTAGACTAGGAGTTGATAGTAAATAGTAGATACATGTTTCTAGTATATTTATGTAAATATAACGCAGAAAAACTCGAAAATAATTAAAATTAAAAGAAAGTAAAAACATAACACATTTGGGAAAAAGGGGGAGGGCTAACAAAATCGTCTTGTCCCAAAGTACATATGGATTAAATACTCTTTTTGATATATTCAAAGACTGGGAGACTGAAAAACTCAACTTCAAGTTTTGCATAGACGTTGTAACAGAACTTGGAAGACAGCATCTTTACATAGATATGTTAAAACAAATTTTCATGTATTGGCACAGACTAGAAAATTCACCATCAAACTTGCTTAACAATGCATACAAGAAATATATTCATTTGCATAGCATAAATAGAGGTCAAAACTCTTGGTTCACAAACTTACTCTTTTATAGTGAAAAATTAAACATTGATCTGACCACTTGTAAAAACTGGAGTAAACATAAATTTAAGAAATCACTTAAAATCTGTCTAAAAAAACAGCTTCTTAGAGACGTGGAAGGAAATAAGGTCTTCTTATTTACATGATAAAGGCAAATTAAGTACATATTTTATATTCAAATTCTCCTTTTTTAGAAAGAACTATTTATCCTTTGTACATACTGATTGGTAAATTCTCACAAAATTGAGATTGAGTAATCATAAATTTAGAATTGAAACTGGCCGTCATGAACGCAGGTTCAACTCTTCAGGTAAATTGGAATATATTCCTAGATTGTGATTATTGCAATTTGAATGTAATTGAGGACGAGCTCCATTTTATATTGGTATGTCCTTTATATGCAGCATCAAGAAAAGTAATTCTAGATGGTCTATTTATTAAGTATCCAAATTTGAGAATACTAAATATAGAAGATTTATTCATTTGGGTTATGTCAAATGACGACAAAAGCTTTATAACATCTTTATTCAATTACCTGAACATGAGTTTAGAAACCAGAAAACTAAAAATTGCAAAATAAATTTACCAAATTGAAACACCTAAATATAGGTTTTAGTTCTTAGTGTCTTTATATAGATTGGAGTTATCTTTCTTGCACCCAGCTGGCTCTCTCACAAATTGTTTATCTATGTACATGCTATATAGCATAGGTTCAGATTATCTTATGTTATACGTCATCTAATGAGATGCAGATGTTGATAGCTATTCTTATCTCTGATTACCCGGATGTTGCGGACAAACATCTACAGCATTACTGTTTACAATGGCTAGCAGTAATGCATATCAATTTGTTACACTTAAAGAAAAAGATGTACCTGGAGCTCAATTAATTTATCCAGAAGTAGAAAACCATTCCAATGTGCAATTAAAAAGATGGCTATTATGTAGAGGTCTTACAACAACTGGAAACAAATCAATTTCAGTTGCAAGGTATTTATTTAAATTCATTTTCCCTTTGTTTTCAATACATATATCCACATGGAAAACAACATAATTTCTCCAAAATGAAACAAAAGCAAAAACAAATATAAATCAATTGTTTTAAAAACAATTGTTAACGGTCTTTCCCCTCCGAAACATGATTGATTGATTGATTAATTGATGGATGAATGGATGGATGGATTGATCGATTGATTGATTGATTGATTGACTTATTACACACGTGAGATAGGGTCGCTTGAAACAAGCAAACACGAAACAAATGAGATCTTGGACCTGTATTAAACACAAGGGACCACAACAAGCATGTAATGGTTGGTTGGTTCGATGGTTAAACACATGGGGCCGATCCACTAGGACAACGCAAAAAGGGAATTGAGAGTCTAGTGCCCGTGTTTAAACACGGAACACGTGAAAAAGGCATTGAGAGCCTAGTGCCCGTGTTTAAACACTCGAGACCTAGCCTCTAGGAACACGTGAAAAAGGCATTAAGAGCCTAGTGCTCGTGTTTAAACACTTGAGACCTAGCCTCTAGGAACACGTGAAAAAGGCATTGAGAGCCTAGTGCCCGTGTTTAAACACTTGAGACCTAGCCTCTAGGAACCCGTGATAAAGGCATTGAGAGCCTAGTGCCCGTGTTTAAAAACTCGAGACCTAGCCTCTAGGAACACGTGAAAAGGGCATTGAAAGCCTAGTGCTCGTATTTAAACACTTGAGACCTAGCCTCTAGGAACACGTGAAAAAGGCATTGAGAGCCTAGTGCCAGTGTTTAAACACTTGAGACCTAGCCTCTATGAATACGTGAAAAAGGTATTGAGAGCCTAGTGTCCGTGTTTAAACACTTGAGATCTAGCCTCTAGGAACACGCGATAAAGGCATTGAGAGCCTAGTGCCCGTTTTTAAACACTTGAGACCTAGCCTCTAGGAACACGTGATAAAGGCATTGAGAGCCTAGTGCCCGTTTTTAAACACTTGAGACCTTGCCTCTAGGAACAAGTGATAAAGGCATTGAGAGCCTAGTGCCCGTTTTTAAACAATTGAGACCTAGCCTCTAGGAACACGTGATAAAGGCATTGAGAGCCTAGTGCCCGTGTTTAAACACTTGAGGCCTAGCCTCTAGGAACACGTGAAAAAGGCATTGAGAGCCTAGTGCCCGTGTTTAAACACTTGAGACCTAGCCTCTAGGAACACGTGATAAAGGCTTTGAGAGCCTAGTGCCTGTTTTTAAACACTTGAGACCTAGCCTCTAGGAACACGTGAAAAAGGCATTGAGAGCCTAGTGCCCGTGTTTAAACACTTGAGGCCTAGCCTCTAGGAACACGTGAAAAAGGCATTGAGAGCCTAGTGCCCGTGTTTAAACACTTGAGACCTAGCCTCTAGGAACACGTGATAAAGGCTTTGAGAGCCTAGTGCCCGTTTTTAAACACTTGAGACCTTGCCTCTAGGAACAAGTGATAAAGGCATTGAGAGCCTAGTGCCCGTTTTTAAACAATTGAGACCTAGCCTCTAGGAACACGTGATAAAGGCATTGAGAACATAGAGCCCGTGTTTTAACACTTGAGACCTAGCCTCTAGGAACACGCGAAAAAGGCATTTAGAGCCTAGTGCCCGTGTTCAAACACTTGAGACCTTGGCTCTAGGAGCACACGAAAACGGGTCCGTGCAACATTTTAGTTATATTCAAGTTATGATATTTGTCATGTTTGTAGGAACATGCAAGGATTTAAACAGGCCTTCAAAAATATCCTTGCATCTTCCTTTATAAATGTTCTTTTTTTATAGTGCTTCCCGGAATTTGTGTCTTATTTTTTACTTATTGATCTTATTGTGTGTGCATTGTATTCAATTTTGTATTTAAAATGGCCCGACCTGACCTGTATGGATCTTTTGTATTTAACCTATGTGATTAATTCTTTCCGAAAAGGGGGAAACCCCTATTTTATTTTAGGTAGCAGGCGTCGCACCGGATGGTTGAAGTGATTGTGACGTCACCAAGCTGATTGATATACACAGAAAGACTGTTTATTTTTAAAATTTTGTTGCAGAGAGAGACGTCGTTCTGACCACACCTATGTATAAAGAATGTGCAAACGGATTTAATTTTCTTTCATTTACAGGTCATTGAAGTCTGATCATGCATGCTTTTTTCGTACACATATTTACGGGAACACAGATTTCATTTTAATGCATGTTTAGACATTTGCTTCTAGGATTTTACTTCTATTTGCGAACTTTGGAGGGAGTTCTACGTAATTGATTTTAATTTCTCAATCCAGATTGGAACGTTAAGCGGACTGCACGTGATTTATACTGCTAACGGAATGATTTTTTTTTACAGGTAAACTATTGTCCAATCGCTGACCACTGGTCGACTCATTCATTGCATGCACACAAAAATAATGCTTGTGTTATAGTACTTTAAAAAACGTTTATCGATTAATTTTCAGAAATACATGTACATGATTTGGAGCAGATATTTTATTTTGCAGGAATAGATTTGTATTTCAGAAAGAAATTTATGCATAAAAAAAGAAGGATTAGCATTTTTATAATAAAATAGAAATGGGATTCCTAAAAAAAAGGGCGGGGGATAGATGGGTAGTTGTGGGCATTAGATGATTTACAAAGATAAATTGCATGTACGCATCATGAGAGCTGTAAAGTTTGTAGCTATAATTAGTCAATGTGTTGATTTTTCCTTTTCAGTGGCATGAAAAACCCCAAAATACTACGCGTATTATTTCGACAAATATTCACGACATAAATAATGTCGCGACTAACATTTTGCTCACATTTTTTTCAATTTTATCCCTAACTTTTTTCTGAGTAAAAGCAGTTTGAAGTGAATGTCAAAATTTAGAACATGACCTTGACCTTTGACCTTGACCTTATTTTCTAAGTTCGGACCCAAGGACCTTCAATAAAGCGACTCTATGTTTATACGGCTTACGGTTTATGAGTTTATATGCATATCACTTATATCAAATGCATAAGGGGAAATAACTCTCATATGGAGACTCCGGAGAACTTTGGTGCAAACCGACTCATCATCTTGAAGATATAGGAAGCATTTTGGTAAAATAAATTTGTCGTAATCTTTTACGGTTGCGAAGGAGTAGTGAACACAAGAAAAACAGTGTTCGGGGCGATAACTCTTACAACGTAAAGTGTACGGTTTTACAGGGTCAGTTCCAAAAGCGCAATAACTGTTCGATATCATATGCGAAAAATCTAAGCGACATCTTGCAAAACCACAATACTACGCAAGAACAAAATGTGGCGGAAGAAAAAAATAAAATCTCAGAACAAAACCAATAGGTCTTTCCACGGAAAAGTGGAAAGACCTAAATATTTGAATTTTAATTCTTCCATTAAAAAATTATAAGCTATGCAAGTAATGTTGAATTAAAAGCATAGCCTTTAATTAAGAATTTGGATATACCTCAAAGCTATATCTAATACTTGTAAATGTGCTGATCATTCTTTGAAAACAAAGGAAAGCACTACATCTTATATAAAATAAAATAAAATAGAATTCAATGTATGAAGTTAAATAGATTAAAGAACTGATTATGAAATCAATATGCATGTAATTTGTTCCTGTTGGTTATCTTATAAACACACATGTCATGCACAGCTTGATATCAGACATGATAAATATCAACATTAAGAAAATATTTATTGACACATTTGAAGATATACCAAGAAGTTTATTATACGGGTAATTGTATATTTCAATAATTCATTAAATTTGTTTTGAGAAAAACATCATGAATGAAAAAAAGTGCAATAGATAAATGAATACCTTTTCCTTAAATAGAGCAAAAGACTGTATTGGAACAAAGAGAGATGTAATAAATGTTGGAGTAGATGATGGAAAATGGTATGACTTGAATCTTCAAGGTGTCAAAGACAGTGAAGTCTGCAATCCACTTCAAACCCACAAGTCCCTCCTATAGAAGGGTGAAAACATTTTCCCTCAACCGATCTCCCAAATCACTTCAATGAAGGGCATATCCATCATTACATCATTGAGAGTGTTCAGTTTGTAGGACAAAAACAGACCTCAAAAGAAGAAGACGAATGCGATATTGAGGACCTTCACACATCAAAATCACTACAAAAAGGGAGGCAATACTTTAAAAGTGGACATGATTGTAAAACTGAAAATTTCTATTTTCTTAAATCAACAGTTATGGCATCCTATAGAATTGACACTTTTATAATGTAACTGTAACAGTGTCATCGGCCACAGGATTTGTGAAAGATGCATCTTGTAACTGTGTAGGTTCGTCCATGGGGAGATGTAGTCATGTAGCAGCAGTTTTATTCGCACTTTTAGACTATACACAGCAGTTTGGTACAGATCAAGCTTCTTGCACATCCAGAAGGTTCGAATAAAACATAGGAAGAAAGTAAAAGAAAGACCCAAAAAAGGTGACTGAATCTACATATATAGGGGAAAAGAAAAAGAAAGTGGACAAAATTATTGAATTTGATCCACGTCCTCCTTCACTGAAAACTGATGACAACTCATCTGAAGAAGAAAATGTTTTCCTTTACAACTTACAAAATCATAATTGTGGAAATACTATGTGGTCCACTGTGCTTACTTACAATTATGAAGACTGTGAAATGAATATCGACACAAAATTGTATCTGGAGAAAAAACGAACAGAGTTGCTGCAAAACTTATCTGCATATGGTAGTGATGTGCCATATGAAATAGTTGAAAATCAGAGAAGTGATGAATGGTTCCACCAGAGAGCAATGAGGATAACAGCATCAAATGCAAAGTCTGTGTCCACACTAAAGAAAGAATCTTCAGTGTTTAATAAACTGAAGAAAATCATGTATAAAACTGATCTGATCAAAACAAGAGCTATGACTTATGGAATCGAGCAAAATCTTATAAACTCCACTCCCTCCATGTAATCTTTGTGTGCATAACGTGAATCACTATTACAAGTACCATAGCTGCAATGTTTTGTTGCACCTTTCTTCACCAAATCATCCATAATTTAGGTTTTAATATCAACAGTTACTATTTTATACCTCAGAGTTACTAGAGTTAGTTAAAACAAATAAAGTTATTGTTTGTATAGCATATATACTACTTTAGTGTATTAATGCATGTGGGAAATAAGTTTGTCCGCAAGTGAGACTGATAAATCAGTATGTAGATAAGGTAATCTATAAATAGGAGAAACAGATAATCTGATCCTATGCTATTAATCATAAAATAATGTTTAATAAAATTGAGAATGGAAATGGGGAATGTGTCAAAGAGACAACAACCCGACCATAGAGCAGACAACAGCCGAAGGCCACCACTGGGTCTTCAATCCAGCGAGAAAATCCCGCACCCGGAGGCGTCCTTCAGCTGGCCCCTAAACAAATATGTATACTAGTGATAATGGATGTCATACTAAACTCCAAATTATACACAAGAAACTAAAATTAAAAATGATACAAGACTAACAAAGACCAGAGGCTCCTGACTTGGGACAGGCGCAAAAATGCGGCGGGCTTAAACATGTTTTTTGAGATCGCCACCCTCCCCCTATACCTCTAGCCAATGTAGAAAAAACAAACGTACAACAGTACGCACAGTAAAACTCAGTTTAAGAGAAGTCCGAGTCCGATGTCAGAATAGGAAACAAAAGAAAATAAACAAAATGACAATAATACATAAATAACAACAGACCACTAGCAGTTACTGACATGCCAGCTCCAGACCTCAATTAAACTGATTGAAAGATTATGTCTTCATCATATGAATATCAGGCACAATCCCTCCTGTTAGGGGTTTAGTATTATATTATCATAAAATATATGAGAAGAACATAACCCGTGTCATGCCAACAACTGGTTTTAGAATAAATATGTTTAATTCCGATGCAAAGACCCTATAAGTAAATCAATATTAAAGCTAAAATATGCAATCTTTAATGACCTGACAACAGTATCGTAACTATATCCCTTCTTAATAAGTCTGTTTAAAGGTTTTGTTAGCTTTTGAGGTGAATACTGACATTTTTGTGCTTTGTAAAGAATATTAACATAAAAGATTGGATGTGAAATACCCGAACGTATAAGATGTCTGCATGTTGAGTTACATTTACGAATGATGTCCTTATACCGATGATAAAACTTAATAAATGTTTTGACTAGTTTATGATATCGAAAACCCTGGTGTTATAATTTTTCAGTAATACATGAATTTCTCTCGCTAAAATCTAATACATTGTTACATACACCAGCGAATCGTACAAGTTGAGATATATAAACACCTTAAGATGGTGACAAGGGAACGTCACCATCTAAAAATGGATAATTAACGATAGGAAATGAAAAATCATCTCTTTTATCATAAATGTTTGTATTAAGCTTCCCGTTAATGATATAGATATCAAGATAGAGGAAAGGACAGTAGTCATTGTTAATATTAGCTTTATTTAAAGTTAGTTCAACAGGATAAATTTCTTTAGTATACATACTGAAGTCCTCATTATTGAGAGCCAATATATCATCCAAATATCTAAAAGTATTGTTAAATTTTTGTATCAGATGTTGTTTCGATGGGTCTTTGCTGATTTTAGTCATAAATTGTAACTCATAACAATACAAAAACAGGTCCGCAATAAGTGGTGCACAGTTAGTCCCCATTGGAATTCCGATAACTTGACGATATACGGAATCTCCAAAGCGAACAAAAATGTTATCAAGTAAAAATTCAAGGGCAGATATAGTATCAAAGCATGTCCAATAGCTCTTTTGTTTGTTGCTACTAAAAAATGACCCAAATAGTTTGAACATATGTATTCGCATTCCACCTTTTTAAATGCCCATTCAATTAGGTGTGTGAATTTTTTCTTAATAAGAATATAAGGCAAAGTGGTATATAGGGTAGAAAAATCAAAACGTTGAACAGATTCAAAATCACCAATATATGCATACAATTTATCAAGTACTTCCAACGAGTTTTTGACACTCCAAAAGTAGTTAATTCCACTATTTTCAAAGGCCTGGCCTTATTTGTACAATTTATTATAAGGTTTTTGATTGTTCCAAGTGTACTAGTAAGTAGAATAGACAATTTAGTAGTGGAACAATGACTTGAAGACGAAATAAATCTATATTTGTAAGGTGATTTGTGTAGCTTCGGAAGCCAGTACATAGTTGGGACTTTCATTGTATTTGGTTCTGCTTGTAAAGAAGTAGCTAATAGTTTATGTTTGTTACAGATATCGTTTTCTGAAAATGAAGTCAGTTGGAATGTTGGTGAATTCGTGATTTCCTTTTTCAGAACCTCAATGTAAAATTTACGTCAAACTATAATGATATTATTAGCAGCTTTATCAGCCGGGATAAAAACAAATTCCTTGGCTAGTTCTTTTAGTTTATGTTTGATACGAGAAATAGGATTTTTATGGTTGTTGTTAAGAGTAAAATGTTCTTTAAAATGTTGTATACGTATATCAACTATCTTCATTACTGAATTAAAAAAAGAGTCCAAAGATTTTTTGTCAGCTTTTTCCCGTTTTATCCATTTCAAACAGTAAGCACGAAGTGAGTCGTGGATGATATTACGACACTCATTCCAATTAATAATTGACGGGGGACAATATTTAGGTCCTTTACTGAGGAATGATTTTAACTCTCGGTCGCGAACGATGTTAAGGTCTCCTGTTATAACATGGGAAATGGGGCCATAAGTGTATTCGGAATTACTACAATTACATGACGAAGGTGTATTTTCACTGATATTTACATCTTTACAGACTTGGCTATAATTAAACACAAATTTTCGGGTAGATTTCTTGTAAATATAACAAATAAGATCGAGGGAGTTCAGTATTATTAAAATATCCAGGAATTTGTTCTTTAACAGAATGGTCGTTAAAAATATGAATGTTTTTGTCTAAAAAAATGTCAGTATTACAAATCTAATCTTTAATCAATCCTAATCCTATCTTATTTTTGGGAAATATTTTTACAAATTCAAATGTGACGTCACTTTGTGTGTTTTTTTAGAATTTCAAATGTGACGTCACTTTGTGCGTTGAGGCTTTGGCTAGCTCGGCTGTGTATTTTTTTATGTGTTGGATTAAGTTGTTTTATGTAATGTATCCGTTTTTATTCTGTAGTTAGTCCCCACTTTGGTTTTATCATGTATATCTATTATATAGTCATTTTATAAAATTTACTGTTTGCAAAATTATAAATTATTCTAAATAATAAGGATGTTCTTGTCCTAGGCAGAAAACCCTGGCCGTGTTAGGCGCAACTTTTTGGAAGATTTGGTCCTCGGTGCTCTTCAGCTTTGTACTTGTTTTGGCTTTCAAACTTTTTTCATCTGAGCGTCACTGGTTGGTCTTGTGTGGACGAGACGTACGTCTGGCGTATTGAATTTTAAGCCTAGTACCTTTTGTTAGCTATTATTCGTGTGTTTCTTTGTCCTATATGTTCTCCCATTTATTTGTACTGTGGTCCTGTCATGTAATGTTGTCGTTTTGGTGTTGTGTTTGACGTTTCCATAAAAGCGGGAGGTTTGGCATGCCACAAAACCAGGTTCAACTCACCATTTTTTTCTTAAAATGTCCTGTACCAAGTCAGGAAAATGGCCATCGTTATATTATATATAGTTCGTTTCTGTGTGTGTTACATTTTAATGTTGTGTTTTTGTTGTGTCGTTGTTCTCCTCTTATATTTGATGCGTTTCCTCAGTTTTAGTTTGTAACCCGGATTTGTTTTTATCTCTATCGATTTATGAGTTTTCGAACAGCGGTATACTACTGTTGCCTTTATGTATATACATTTTTGTCTACTATTTTCTTGTTTGTTATTGATATGCCCTTAATTACGGGCCCTTTAATTAGGAAATAAAATAATTTGATTTGATTTTGATTTGATATAAGAAAAGTAAAGTTTGCAGGCCGTTATTGTTATTCTGAAATTAAAACATTTGAATAAATTATTGTAAAAAATAAAACAAAATAGTTTCGTTACGTTATAATGTTTTCAAGTGCTTTTAGAAATTGGCGATCTAAAAATAACCAACAGGAAATGTTGAAGTTTGGAATTTCCAATCTATTTTTAGAAGCTTACGCTGTTAAGTAGGTGAGTTAAAATGTAGACATAATTAAGATATTTATGAGTTTGATTAATATTCACGTACGGTTTATGATTAACGTGTATATATAAATGAGATGAGACCACCGATTAACTACTTATACTGGTATATGTGGTAACTACTTATTTAATAAGTGATATAATGACATATAAAACCATACTAAAAGGCGCGATGTAAACTAGTGATATGAACATTGTGTTATGAGAGATATATGAGAAATTTTAAACGTGTAATCGTTTTGATTTCTTATGACCATATTTCTTTTAATGTATCAATTACTGCTTCTTCATGTGAGAAGGTTAAAAACCATTTTACGGAAAATTAAGCCAAAGTTATTATTAATTACACAAATCTATTTTCTATCCAATGACGCATATTCTATTTTTAGCAAATCAGCTATAAATCAAACCAAATCAAATCAAATCAAATCATTTTATTTCTTAATGGGCCCATAATGGCATATCAATTACAAAAAAGAAAATAATAAAAAGACAACATGACTTGTATACATCTTTTTAGACAAAAACATTCATTTAAACATTATTTTATGATTTATATAACATATACATGAATAAACAATTTGTGAGAAAGCCATCTGTGTGCAAGAAAGATAACTCCAATCTATATAATGTTACTCAAAAAACCTGTAGCTAGGTGTTTCAATTTGGTAAATTTATTTTCCAATTTTTAGTTATCTAGTTTCAAAAATTATGTTCAGATATTTGCATAAAGATGTTATAAAGCTTTTGTCGTCATTTGACATTACCCAAATGAATACATTCTCTAAGTTTAGTATTCTCAAATTTGGATATTTAATGAATAGACTATCTAGAAAAACTGTTCGTGATGCTTCATATAAAAGACATTTCAATATAAAATGGAGCGCGTCCTCAATCACATTCAAATTGCAATAATTACAAAGTCTTTCACATCTTGGAATATATTCCAATTTACCTGAAGAGTTGAACCTGCGTTCATGACGGCCAGTTTCAATTCTTAATTTATGATTACTCAAACTCAATTTTGTGAGAATTTTCCAATCACTATATGTAAAGGATAAATAGTTCTTTTTAACAAAGGAAAATTTGAATTTTAAATATGTACTTAATATGCCTTTATCATGTAAATAAGAAGACCTTATTTCCATCCAGGTCCCTAGAAAGCTGTTTTTTAGATAGATTTTAAGTGATTTCTTAAATTTATGTTTACTCCAGTTTTTACAAATGGTCAGATCAATGTTTAATTTTTCACCATAAAAGAGTAGGTTTGTGAACCAAGAGTTTTGACCTTTGTTTATGCTATGCAAATGAATAAATTCCTTGTATGCATTGTTAAGCAAGTTTGATGGTGAATTTTCTAGTCTGTGCCAATACATGAAAATTTGTTTTAACATGTCTTTGTCTTCCAAGTTCTGTTACAACTCCTATATTAGTACATAGTATATAGTTTAGAGACCACCAAGTATGTATTTGCAAAACTTGATGTGGAGTTTTTCGGTCTCCCAGTCCTTGAATATATCAACAAGAATTAATGATTTTCTCTTTGGAGTAATATTAATAATACCCCAATTCTCACAACCGTAAAGAATAATAGGTTTTATACAATGATAAAATAAATGTAGGGATATGTTTATGATTGGTCTTGAGGATTTCAAGTCTCTATATAACTTAAAACAGGCTTTCAAGCTTTTTTGAAATAGTTGTTTTTAGCCTCATTAAATTTCCCAGCATTCTCAATTATAAGGCCAAAGTATTTATATTGCTTTACACATTCTATGTCTTCTTTCCCAATATGGAAATTATCTTGTAAAAATCTACAGGTCCATTTTAGTCTAATAACGCCTAACGATTCTAAGTATATTTACGTCCGTGGCTTTCAGATTTTTGGGTTTGAGTTTTCCGGTTAAGACACACGAAAAAAGGTGTTATTTCATTTCCAAAACTCCTACCAGTTACATTTTTTTGGAGGTAGATAATATTCGAGGAAAGGAAGAATGAATTGTTGCTAACACAAACTGTACTTCTCTCACAGATTCCGGTAGACGTCAATCAAGTAATAATGTCGTCAGTAAAACTTCCCAACAGATTGCCTCGACTTTACTACTGATAACACCTAGTTGTATTGTAACCAGTAACAAGAAAATCCAGATAGAAACGCAAGCTTTGGAACATCAACTGGAAGTCTTAAACACCACAAGTAGGTATTATTGGAATGTTTTCATAAATACGGCAAATTAGCAATATTTTTACATAACTTTTTTATGTAGCTTCTTCATTTTATAACACATATAAACCTTGATTGTATATTATATAATTAAGTTAAACACTTTTTATTTGAGACTGGAAACCTCTAATATGTGACAATATTCTTCATAAGATCACACTACCTTTGGAAATGTGGACAAAATGCACGGACTTCTTTGTCATCAAGAAAAAATTATGATAAATGCATGCTTGATAATGACATACACATATATAAAGTTACTATATTTTACTTTTTATTCGTGTGCCACTTATAGCCAATCACGCGCGTCTGTTGTACTATATCTTACGTCTGATATCTTAACTGAATTTTGAAGAAAAATAATCTAGTCGTCGATTTTGTAAATTTACCGATTGTGTTCCATTCCCAATTCTGCACTTTACTGATCGAGGACTTGCAGGTAATGCATGCAAAACACGAGACGCTTACCCTGTCGACACATCCGGTCTCGCTCCTTTTTGGAGTTCTTAATATTCAATTTTTTTTTTGTTTTTTACCATAATTTGTATATTCCTAATGAATTGATGATGTTGAATATCGACAATCTATTATTGCCTCTTTTTTAAGATCATATTTTGCTTAAAGTTAATATTTTATATGTCTAATCTTACTACCTATATTAGATATTTACATTCTTATTGATCATGAACATAAACGATGGTTTCGTATAGAAAACGTTAACTTAACGGTTTTCTCTGTTATCAAATGGATTTCGCTAAACTTTAGTCATGTGTGTTCATTGAAACATGTATTTTTACAACACATCTCTAAAACATTGCAAGTTTAGTATATTAAATTAATATTTTATTTATTTTTTAAGCCTTACACAGCCTTTGTATAATCCGATGTCAAACCATCCGTGTTTAAAAGGACAAAAGCAGCGAGGAGACGTTTGCTGTTGGACGGTTCAATGTAAAGGTACATTATTTATTTAAGATGCGTTGTAACTTCATGTGTTCAACGACTGACAAGATGATCTACGATTTAAAAGTGCTGTACTATGTAAACAATTTAAGGAATGGATTCCAATTTATCTCTTTGTATTTAAATTTAAATAATTATTTATTCGAAACACTTAGGTTTTTCCATCCGCTTGAATAGATGGCCTTAGCCGTATTTGGCACAACTTTTTGAATTTTTGGTTTTCAATGGCCTTCAACTATGTATTTAATTTTGCCTTCCAACTGTTTTGATTCGGGCATCTGACACTGATGAGTATTAGGTAAACGAAACGCGCTTCCTGTAGAACAGGTGATATAAGCCTAGTAATAATGATGAAATTTAACATTGTAATATAATACAAAATGATGGGTCTGTCAACTAGCGATGCTACGTTACCCGTAGACAAGATGAGTTTGAGCCTAAAAAATTAAAAAAAAACAACATACGGAACAGTTCATGTATAACCTGACAATATAATCTAAAATGTAGAATAAACATAATCCAATAAAATTGAGAATGGTAATGGGGAATGTGTCAAAGAGACAACAACCCGACCATAGAACAGACAACAGCAGAAGGTCACCAACAGGTCTTCAATGTAGCGAGAAATTCTCGCACCCGGAAGCGTCCTTCAGCTGGCCCCTAAACAAATATATATACTAGTTCAGTGATAATGAACGCCATACTTAACTCCAAATTGTACACAAGAAACTAAAATTAAAAATAATACAAGACTGACAAAGGCCAGAGGCTCCTGACTTGGGACAGGCGCAAAAATACGGCGGGGTTAAACATGTTTATGAGATCTCAACCCTCCCCCTATACCTCTAGCCAATGTAGAAAAGTAAACGCATAACAATACGCACATTAAAATTCAGTTCAAGAGAAGTCCGAGTCTGATGTCAGAAGATGTAACCAAAGAAAATAAACAAAATGACAATAATACATAAATAACAACAGACTACTAGCAGTTAACTGACATGCCAGCTCCAGACTTCAATTAAACTGATTGAAAGATTATGTCTTCATCATATGAATATCAGGCACAATCCTTCCCGTTAGGGGTTTAGTATCATACCATCATAACATATATGAGAAGAACATAACCCGTGTCATGCCAACAACTGGTTTTTAAATAAATGTGTTTAGTGCCGATGCAAAGACCCTATAAGTGAATCAATATTAACGCCAAAATATGCAATCTTTAATGACCTGACAACAGTATCGTAACTATATCCCTTCTTAATAAGTCTATTTAAAGGTTTTGTTAGCTTCAGAGGTGAATACTGACATTTTTGTGCTTGATAAAGAATATTTCCATAAAAAATTGGATGTGAAATACCTGAACGTATAAGAAGTCTGCATGTTGAGCTATATTTACGAATGATGTCCTTATACCGATGATAATATATATTTTCATATAACCAAAAGTTAAGTTTATTTGTTTTCTAATATTTTATCCAATATTTCGTGTTGGTAATGTCAAACTCAAAATAAAATATAATTGTGAACTAACAAATAAATAATTTTAAGTTTTTATATAATGGAAAAGAAAGGATATATATGAGTATCAGTATATAACACTTAATCACGACATGCACATGAAAAACCACAAATAAAAGGTACATAGCTTTACTTGCTGTTTGTATTTAGTCCTTTCGCCATTGAGCAAAAACTCACTACAAGGTTTAGACGGTCTCTAAATCCCTTGACAATTATTTGCTAGAGGTGTATTGTTGTCATTCTTGAATTGCACAGCTGCGGGTAATATCAACAAATTATACATTGTATCTTACAGACAAATCTAATAAGTAATGTCAATTATAGCCCAACAATCTCACTGTTAAACGCAGCCAGAACACTAACATTTAGTCAAACAAGTGTCACATCAAGAAACTACGTACGAAAAGGGCAAATTATATATATATAAAAAGAACCAAAAAAAAAAAAAACCAAGCAAAACAAAAAATGGCCGCTGGACTAGCAAGACGTATTAATATTGGAGGTGAACTTTTGCCAAATGTTATGCGTTGAAACGATATTGTTGATAAGTGTCGACGAGAAAAGTGCAATCTACTAAAACTTACAGAAAGTAAGTATATCCTTTTTGTTGGCGATTATCATGATCAAACATTCGTGTTTATAAATCAAATCAAATCAACTCATACTTTCAAACATAAACATAAACAAACTCACCTTTATTTACTTATCTGTTGTGAACTATTTGCCTACTCTTATGGACAAAACTGGGGATCTATACGGAAACTCGTGTGAACTCACTTAAAAACCGAAGTATGAATCATGAACAAGAAAAATAAAGCAGCAAAGCGAGCAAAACGTAAATTAGAAGAGATTGATTCCACAATAACTTCAGACGAATCACAGTCCGCAACTAAAGCAGTAAAACCACCCAAACCAATAACTTCCACGCCTGCTTATAGCAGAACTATTTTTTCCATACATCATTCACCTCCCCCATACAGCAAATGCCACAAGGTGGTAGTAATAACAGCTATATTTTATGTTCACCACAAGGGGGCTTCTCCCTTCCTTCTTGTACAAGTACACCCGGAGCTGCTGTATATACACAACCTATTGCAATAAATAGTAATATTGAATTTCTCCTGCAAGATGTCTGTAACCGTTTGGACCGAATGGAAGTAAAAATGAACAAATTAGAAACAATAGAAAAATCAGTTTTAACTCTTGAAACCAAAATGTCAAATATGGAGGGTAACATGCTCGGTATGAAAACTTATATGGATAAAGTTAAACAGGAGGTGACGGAAGTCTCGGAAGAAGTAGATGGTATAAAATTTTGATGAGGGACAATATGTTAGAATGGTTTATAATAAACTCTAGATAAACAATGTTTTGTACAAACAAGAGAGATTGTTGAATCATAGGTTTAACAGGAGGTTAGGCAAAAACTTAATATTGTTTAATGGAATGTTAATAGATCAGTAAAAAATAAGCTTGAAAATGCAGATTTTGTTCAAAATTTTGTAAATAATGATATTGTTTTCTTGTCTGAATGTTGGATTGATGAAAATGCTGATATAAATGATGAAACTTTTGGTAATAAATTTTTAATCAATTGTTATTGAAGAAAAAAAGGTAAAGGTGGTGAAATGATCCTCTTGTACAACAAATCATTTCAAAATCATATAGAAATATTGAAGTTTCTCATGATACTGTTATATAGGTAAAGGTGGACAAAATTTTTTGATAAAAGCAATGATGTTTATTTATGTTTTGTATATGTACCCCATGAAAATAAATTTTTTTTATGACATATATGATGTTGATATTTATGATTGTCTGACTGAAGACATTGCAAGTTACAGTAGTTTAGGCTCTGTTGCTGCTCTTGGTGATTGGAACAGTCGAATAGGTATTAAATCAGATTTTATAAAAAACGACGAACTTAACATTGGCGAAAAAAAACCATTGATAATTTTATCAGCTATGATAGTGATGACGAAGAACTGATTCAATTTTCTGAAGATCAAACAGTAAATAATTTTAGAAGGAAACCTTTACGTCTTTGCCAATCTACTGGACTCCGTGTATGTAATGGTCGATCAGTTAGTGACAAAATAGGAAAATTAATGTTTTATAACCGTTTGGGATCTAGTGTTATTGATTATGCATTGATACATAAAAACTTCAAATCTTATAAATGATTTTGTTGTTATGGACTTTAATATGTGGTCGGATCATGCACCGGTTCGTTTAACGCTTGAAATAGCCGATTCTGGTCTAAATACATACAATTCAAATGATGATAATTTTTTTCATAGCACATACAGATGGGACCCGGACAAATTTGAGGAAATGAAAACTAGTTTGGTTAGTCATATGGACACACTGAACAGTAATGTTGAGCAAATGGTGTGTACAGAACAAAGTATTGAGAATACTGTTATAAAGCTTACTGAAAAACTGAATACTGTTTTCAAACCGTTTTGCGTAAAACGTTATTGTATTAAAAGGAATAATACGAACATTAAAAACAGTTGAAAACATTTTTGTGCTTTGTAAAGAATATTACAATAAAATATTGGACGTGAAATATCTGAACGTATAAGATGTCTGCATGTTGATTTATATTTACGAATGATGTTCTTGTATCGATGATAAAATTTAGTAAATGTTTTGGCTAGTTTGTGATATCGAAAACCCTGGTGTAATAATTTTTCAGTAATACAGAGATTTCTTTCGTTGAAATCAAATACGTTGTTACATACACGAGCGAATCGAACAAGTTGAGATATATAAACACCATAAGATGGTGACAAGGGGACGTCACCATCTAAAAATGGATAATTAACAATAAGGAAATGAAAAATCATCTCTTTTATCATAAATTTTGGTATTAAGCTTCCCGTTAAAGATATAGATATCAAGATCCAGGAAAGGCAGTGTTCATTGTTAGTATTAGCTATTACTCCAGAAGAAGTGTAAAGTTTTGTTGAAGTTAAAATGTAACAAATCGGCTGGTACTGACAATCGTTAAATGAGTATTTTTTACATTTTAAAGACATTTTCATACCTTTAATTGTACATTTGTTTAATGATATTTTTTAAACTGGATATATGCCGAAACAGTGGTGTAAGGGAATACTTATTCCCGTGCATAACTAAAATGATGTAAATGTTACTGATAATTATAGAGGTATTTACACTAAGTAGTTGTTTCTGCAAACTTTTTACTACTATTATTAATGAAAGGCTCACGCTCACGCTCAGTTTGGGTTCAGACCCGGTCATGGTACAACTGATGCTATTTTTGTCTTACAATCAGACATTACTAAATATTTGAGATTGAAGAAAAATCTTTATTGTTTTTTTAATAGATTATAAAAGTGTTTTTGACAACTTGAATAGAAATTTTCTATATTATAAGCTTGCAAAATGTGGTATTAGTGGTAAGCTATTTTCAGTAATAAAATCTCTATATGATAATTCTGTGAGCTGTGTAAAGTTTAAAGGTGAATTTTCTGACATTTTCTCTGTAGAAAAAGGAGTATAACAAGGGGAACACTTATCACCCATACTATTTTCAATGTTTTTAAATGATTTTGAAAATGAGTTTATTAATAGCTTATGTCTGCCAGTAGGCAAAAGAACTTTCATTGCTTTTATTGATGTATGCAGATGACACTGTTATATTTTCTGAGACTATTGATGGGTTGCAAAATATGTTGAATTCACTACATAATTATTGTAAAAAGTGGAATCTTATTGTAAACACAAATAAAACTAAGGTGGTTGTTTTCAGAAACGGTGGTAAATTAAGAAGCGATGAAAAATGGTTGTATAATGGCGAAATTATTGAAGTTGCTGATCATTATTTGTATCTTGGTGTTATGTTGCATTACAATGGAAAGTTTAATCAAACTCAGTTAAATATTGCTTCCAAAAGGAAGAAAATGTTTATCAATGCTGTATGGTAAAATAAAACATATGTGTTTAAATGTACAAACAAAATTGTATTTATTTGATGTTTATATTTCACCTGTTTCATCATATGGAAGTGAAATATGGGGTTTTCATAATGCATCTGATATAGAAAAACTTCATATAGAGTTTTGTGAAAATATTTTGACCGTTAAGAAATCCACTGCTACTGCAATGGTTTATTCTGAGTTGGGAAGATTTCCTTTATTGATATCTCGTAAAGTAAGAATAATAAAATATTGGATTCGTCTATTACGGACGGGAAATTGTATTCTTAGTGCTATATATAATGACATGTATGATGAGTGTGAATCAGGAAATAAGTCATCATAGGTTAATAATGTTAAATGTATGTTACTTAGCTTAGGTTTTGGGCATGTTTGGTATACACAGAATGTAGTATGCGAAGAAGTATTTTAAAAATTTATTCAAACAAAGGCTTATTGACCATTTTCTTCAGGAAAGAAATATTCTTTTTTTGATTCGTCATCAAAATGTACTATTTATAAACATCTTGTGGATAATTTTCAATTGCAGTTTTATTTGACAAAAAACTTAACTCCACAATGTATTAGATTTTCAACTAAGTATAGACTGTTCGCACAAATTAAATATTGAATATGGTAGATTCATAAAAAGAGCAAGAAATGAAAAATTATGTATTTTATGTTACCATGATGATATCGAGGATGAGTTTCATTTTATTTCAAAATGTCCAAAATATGACAATATAAGAAAATTGTATATTAAAATGTATTATTATACAAATGCATCTGTTTTTAAATTATTTCAGTTATTGTCAACAAAGAATGTATCGGAATTGTCTAATTTAGGAAAATATTTGAAATACGCCACAGATATAAAATTTCCTTTGAATGATTTATACTATGTAGTCTTGCCTCCGATTGTATTCAAAATGTTCTGTTATGATATACGTGTATATATTTGTGATATACCTATAAGCTGTATTGCTTCTGGTTGGAAATAAACTATTAAAACTATTAAATATATAATGTTTTTCTTGGTTTCAAGTACCGAATATTGGGTCGAATGACTATCCCATGAACCGTTCAACTATATTAATACTTATGGTACCTTCTGTTTCATAGCTGAAGGATTTATACCCTGCAACGCAAAGAACGGCACAGATGTCTGTGTACCATGTCCAGATGGCCAATACATTGCAGATACATATCATACAGATTGGTTTGAACGATCACAATGTGTAGATAAACCAACATGCCTACAAGGTGAGAATTGTACAAGCAATGCTGTGTTCTTATGCCAACTGAAAATGTTTCAAATCTTAAGATAATAGGCAGTTTTTCATACCACAGAATCTTTAATAAGACATTGTATAACAAAATAAAAAAAAAAAAAAAAAAAAAAACAAACACAATTCATACGTTCATCATATTATATATATAAAATCTATACATTTTGACTTAGCATTACACCGTCATACTCAAATGAAAGCTACAATTTATTTTTACACCCAATTAGTTATAAAGTTTTAACAAGTATTGTAAAATCGTTTCTCTAATCTTTCAATATTAAAGATGATAAGGCTTATAAAGACATAGTGTGTCATTAGTATTGAGTATCTCTGATATATACTAGTTAACGTACGAAACACATTTCAGGAGGATTTATGTGAAATTTCTACACATGAACCTGATAAAGGAAAACTTGCTGACGAGGGAAGTCCTAAAATAATCGTCAAAAATGACAAATGTTACGCTTATGCGTAGGATTATTCTGAACATTTCTAATAACAAGGGCAAAAACAAAAGCAATAACATACTGAAAAATGTCAACAAGCTTTCATTGCAATCCAACATTTCTTCAGCAGGAGTTTCGAAATAAATGATCATTCTTTTATGTCATTAACCGGATTTTCTAAGGAAATATCGGTTATTGATTTGGAGATGTACGGCGGGCGGGCGGGCAGGCGGGCGGGCGGACGGGCGGCTCCCAAACAGTGTCTCTTCAATAACGTGAAAACGTTGTGATGATTTTTTTTCAAATTTAGATATGTTGTTTCTTGCGACTAAATGAAGGTTAAGTGCAATTTTCACGATTTAAGTATTTCTCCTTTTTGAGTTATCGCCATTTTTAATATCCAAGAGTGGTATTTTTAAATATTTTTCTCTTGTTATCATATTATGACTAAGCGTATGGTAAATGTCTTATCTCACAATAAAAATTGGAGTGACAGATTTATTTGAAAATTTTCTATTTCCTAAGTGATGATGATTATAAGCTATATTATTAGACATTTTGAAGTTAATTACATTATTAATTATTATATATGTTTTTTCGAGTATTATATGTAAAACCATAGTTCTGTTCAAAGGAAATAACCCTTTAGATTTGCAAGTATGGATTGCATTATTAATAAGATCTGGGAAATATCTTAGCATATGATAATCATTGGAGTGACAGATTTATTTGAAAATTTTCTGTTTCCTGATAAGATCTGTAGGACTGTAAATATAATATAAAGATTGAAATTTACTAGTAGGACTGTATAAATGAAGTTTGAAATTTACTGTTCATTATTAGACATTTTGTAGATAATTAAGTCTCTCTAAACCATATATATTCTTACCCCCATACCCCCTTCAATTTGAGAATGTGCTTTTATCTTGTAAACGGTCGAGATCCCCACCCCCTAAACCATATATATTCTTGTATGGGACAATTAAATAAATCAAATGTCCCCAGGTTGACCCCCACCCCCCTTTTTTTTGAAAACTTGTAAACGGTCAAGATCCCCACCCTGAAACCATATATATTCTTGTATGGGACAATAAAACAAATCTAATGAAATAAAAGGCGGGTCCCCTGAGGTCACCCCCACCCTCTCCTGTTTGAGAATTTGTAAACGTTCGAGATCCCCACCCCTAAACCATATATATTATTGACAATAAAACAAATCAAATGAAATATAGGGGAAGTCCATGGGGGCTAACCCCACCCTCCTTCTTTTTGATAACTTGTAAACGGTCGAGATCCCCACCCTAAACCATGTATATTCTTGTATGGGACAATAAAACAAATCAAACGAAATTTAGGGGAAGTCCCCTCGGGTAACATCCACCCCCTTCTTTTTGAAAACTTGTAAACGGTCAAGATTCCCACCCCAAAACCATATATATTCTTGTATGGGACAATTAAATAAATCAAATGTCTCCAGGTTGACCCCCACCCCTCTTTTTTTTGAAAACTTGTAAACGGTCAAGATCCCCACCCTGAAACCATATATATTCTTGTATGGGACATTAAAACAAATCTAATGAAATAAAAGGCGGGTCCCCTGAGGTCACCCCCACCCTCTCCTGTTTGAGAACTTGTAAACGTTCGAGATACCCACCCCTAAACCATATATATTATTGACAATAAAACAAATCAAATGAAATATAGGGGAAGTCCATGGGGGCTAACCCCACCCCCCTTCTTTTTGATAACTTGTAAACGGTCGAGATCCCTACCCTAAACCATATATATTCTTGTATGGGACAAAAAACAAATCAAACGAAATTTAGGGGAAGTCCCCTCGGGTAACATCCACCCCCCTTCTTTTTGAAAACTTGTAAACTGTCGAGATTCCCACCCCTAAACCATATATATTATTGTATGGGACAAAAAAAAACAAATCATATGAAATAAAGGGCGAGTCCCCTGGGGATCACAGCCCCCCACCCTTTTGAGAACTTGTAAACGGTCGAGATCTCCACCCCTAAACCATATATATTCCTGTTCGTCATTTCAAGAAGATTTGAATGACAAACAGGGTCAATTTATAGGCGTCACTTATGCATATCACAAACCAATTTTTACTGGACTTTGCCCAATGTCAGGCGACCATGGCAATGACGTATCATTGGAGCTTTGTTTGAGAGACTTCGTAATAGCATCCTGTTACAATTACTTCTTGTTACTGATAAGTTTTATAGATTTTGAAAAGACATTGTATTAATGATAAATAAAATTTTAGATTTTTTTCTTCTTTTCTTTGGTGAATTGTTTGAAGAATTTTGTGGCAAGTTTGATTGTTATTCTGTAAAAATTAATTTTCTGAATGCTATATATTTTTTTTTGATGAAGTGAACTCCTTTAAAAACTAAGCTTATATTGTCTATTAATAAACATATATTTAGATTTCTGATTTTGAGCCCAGTTTTCAAGTTGGTCCAAATCGGGGTCCAAAATTAAACTGTGTTTGATTTCAACATAAATTGAATATATATAGGGTTCTTTGAAATGCTTAATCTAAACCTGTATTTCTTTTCATTATTAATAAGATAATACCACATTGAGGTCCAAAGGGTCCTAAATTAAACTTTTGTTTAATTTCATCAAAAATTGAATTCTTTGGTTCTTTGATATGCTGATTCTAACAATGTTTGAGTGTTAAATCATATCTAATTTTAGAGAACTTAGTCATCACTGGTTTTTGTTATTACAAATGTATATTATTGATTATAATTTGAAAAATTGCATCATATCTTTTTTTTAGAGAAATATTAATCCAGTTTGAGTTATTTCCTTTTGCACAGAAAATATTATGGATAAAATAAACCTGTGTTTCACTTCAACATAAATTAAATATATATAGGGTTCTTTCAAATGCTGAATCTAAAATAGTAGATTTTTGGGCCCAGTTTTCAAGTTGGTCCAAATCAGGGTCCAAAATTAAACTTTGTTTGATTCAACAAAAATTGAATTCATGGGGTTCTTTGAAATGCTGAATCTAACCATGTATTGAGAGATTTTGGATTGTGGGCTCCTTTATCAAATTGGTCCACATTGAGGTCCAAAGGGTCTTAAATTAAACTTTTGTGTCATATCATCAAAAATTGAATTCTTGGGGTTCTTTGATATGCTGATTCTAATATGTACTTAGATTTTGGATATTGGACCATAATAGGTAAATGTCCAATTTCAAATATTTCAGTTCTTTGACCACATTCATTTTGTGTCACAAACCTATGCTGTGTCAAATATTCAATCACAATCCAAATTCAGAGCTGTTTTAAGCTTAAATGTAGTGTCTATACTTGCTCAACTGTTCAGGGTTCGACCTCTGCAGGAAAATCCGGTTTGCTGTCACTCTGACAGCCTCTTGTTTTTTTTGTAAATTGAAGAAATCAATTAGTTTGTCAGAATTTTATAATGCAGTTAAGGTTCAATGCATGTTTTATTGAATTTGTTTGATAGGCTATGAGAAAATTCGGAATCCCTGGGTATCCCTCAACTTAAATGCCTAATATTGGTTAACGAGATATCAACAATAATTCATGTTTCTGACTATGCCATGACAGCGGGCATGGGGCGAATTACATTGCAATGTAATGCATTATATTACAATTACTTTGAAAAAAAAAATGCATTAAATTACAATTACAATTACATGCAATTATCAAAGTAATGCCTTAAATTACAATTACTTTTGCAAAGTAATGCATTGAATTACACATTACATTTGTAAATTTTATTATCAAGTGAAAAAAAAAATCAAACATTTTGAAAAACAACATGAAGTCACAAAAGATTCTAGCATATACAGTAAGTGTTTCATGTATTGAATCTAAATATACATGTAAAAGGTCTATTCAATACGACTATTACATTTTATTTACATTAGGGTTGAGCAGGTTTCTTCCTTCATGCGCATTCTATGTTTCAAGGTACACATCTCTAGAGATGTTTTCTCCAAAAAGAAATTACAGAGATGAAGTTTAATACTTATTTTAACTTAATAGATATAAGAAGATGTGGCCCATGATGAGTGCCAATGAGACAACTCTCCATCTAATTCACAATTTGTAAAAGTAAACCATTATAGGTCAAAGTACGGCCTTCAACACGGAGTCTTGGCTCACACCGAACAGCAAGCTATAAAGGGCCCTACATATGACTAGTGTAAAACCATTCAAACAGGAAAACCAATTTAATCTATATATATAAAAAGAGAAACGAGAAACACTTATGAACCAAATCAACAAACGACAACCACTGAACATCAGGTTCCTGACTTAGGACAGGTGCTAATGTTAACTTTACCTTTATAAATATACATTTGTTGTTTTTAATTTCAATAAAACTATTTACTGAGAATTTCTTTCCTAATTATATAATAAACATAGAGCTTAATTTATGATCATGTGTCAAAATGGTGAAAAGATCGATTGTAAAACAAACTAATTAGTGTTTTATGACAATGTTCAATTATCTGTTATTTAATCATGACAAGATATTCATTGGTCTTTTTACAACAATGGAACACTTTTACTGTAATGCTTTTCAAATATCAATCTTTTTATTGCTAGAAAATTTATGAAATAAAATGAAATTAAAAAAGAAAGAACTCAATCTGATATACAGTGATGTGTTATTCATTTAGAATTGTAATTTGGTCATTCTAGTATTTATACCAATTTTCTTCAAGTTCTATCTTGGGCAAGGATTAATCTCCACATTCCCTCTAGTGATTTATGTAAAGTTTGAAAAATAAATAGAAAATAGAAAATCAATATCCAAATGATTATGTTCTTAGTTAATCAAGAAATCTTAAATTCTGCTTTAGTTAAATCTCCATCAATCTGCTAAAGATATATAGTAATTGAAAAAGCAATGCCATGTAATGCAATGTAATGCATGAAATTACACAACTTTTTGCTAAAGTAATACATTAAATTACAATTACATGTAATGCAAAAATTTCTGCATTACACATTACATGCAATTACTTGGAAAAATGTAATGCATTACCATGCATTGCAATTATAAATTTGCATTATCCCATGCCTGCATGACAGTGAAGTAGACAATGTATTATGCAGTGAATGGCCTGTTTAAAATCAAGTGGCACCTTTTAATAGTTGTAGAAAAGGGAAGTTTAGTGAGTTAGAAATGGAGAGTCAATAATATATGCACTGAGATTTTAATGCCCCGCCGACTTAGATCAGGGCCATATAGTGTTACCATTATCCGTCATTCTGTCATTCCGCAACGAACAGATATACGGACTTTTTTCTATGCACCTTCACATATTGAGCTGATTTCTATAATGGGAGTCTACTATGATGAGTTACAGATCGAGTTTACGTTTGGTTCCGCTTTGCTGATTTTGCGAAATTACGGGCTTTGGACTTTGAAAATAACAGTTATACAGGTTTTTTTTTAAACGCTTTCACATATTGAGCTTATTTTTAGTATGTGAGTCTACTAAAACGAGTTACAGATCGAGTTAACGCTTGGTTCTGCTCTGCTGATTTTGCCAAAATTACGGGCTTTGGACTTTTAAAATTTTTAGTCCTAAAAATGGCTTCAAGTTTTTTTTGTTAGCTAGGCTATTCGTGTCGGTCCGACACATCTTGTTTTAAAACTATATTGAGATACAATTTTCCTCTTTAGTTGTTTAGGACATGGCATTGAATCTAAAATAATATATATCCACAATGTATCTCCCAAGTGTTTAACACAGCAGCATCAAAACGGAGAACATAAGTCTATCGAATTGCCCTGAATTAAGAATATATAAATTGTTCACTTTACATCATTCAGATTGTCCAGGTGAAAGGATGAATCTTTTTCTGCAATTTTAGTAACAACAATACCGTTTTGTTTGTAAGTAGAAACCCCCAAACCGTTTTGAATTACAGGTTAGTAAGAAAGTATAGATTCCGAACAAATATTTATTTGTCGTTAAATTTTCGAGATTTTAGGATTTTTACACTTTAGCAATTTCAGGGACAGAAGAATATTTCTAATGCAGTTATGATTTTTCTTATGAATTGTGTGAAGATATTAATGTATGTTCTTTTCGTGAATCAACTCGCATGAGATGATATCGATGCCAACAATTAAAAATAAATAAAATGAAAAGAAAGGAGCATGATGTTAATTAGCAACACAATCGACAAATAATGCAGCATTCACACTTCTCATAAAGTTCCTTGTTTAGGTAAAATACGAAAAGCGGACGGATGGAATTTATAAGGTGTCAGTAGTTAACATGGCGTTTTAAGTTTGTCACCGACTATTATTTCTTAAATTACACTATTACGCTTGTACAGACAATATATATACCAATTTCTTTATTGGTTCAAAATTTCGTTTCAGAACAAATAAGAAATGAAAAAGGCATTTGTGTATGCGATCGTACCAAGGGATATATAAAACAAGGTGGAGGAGATGAAAATATATGTGTTCCAACTTTAGTGAAATGTAACAAGCCTGGCGAGGAGTTACATGAATCAGGTAATTACTCCTTGCTGAACTAGAATATTAATCTAATGATTATGCACATTTTGACTAAAGTTATTTTTCCAGCAAATTTTAAAAGAAGTTTCTATGAATATCCACCATAGCTTCTGGTGTCATTTATTTACTCATAAACATTTCATTTTTCCGTTTGAAAATAGACCAAATAAAGATAGCTTGTCTTAACACTGTATATACATTGCAAATGAAGTATGTCAAGGTGTCTTTTTTCTTCACTAAAGACAAGCGATTATTCCCTTTTTTTTTTTAAACCTTATATCTGGACCTTAACAGAGACAAACCATGAATTCTCTCCAAATTCGTTTGGGATATGTGATACTAAAAAAATTGTTTATTAGAAAACAACGCTTAACGAGGGTATTTATATATATATATCGTCTCAAATTTAACCCAACAATGTTAGATCTGCAAATGTTTTGTTCTTCTATAAGCGGGATTCGAACATCTGCTTCTGTGACATCGTGGCAACACAGCTTGCACTGTGTCCAGCGCCCTAGACCGCTCGACCAACAAGGCTTTATAAAATATATATTTCGTTAGGTAAGTAATGCCTTTTCTCGTCGGTTTCATCTAGAGTTGTAACTAAGTACATGATATATAGTGACGAGTTGATGGTGTACATTACTGATCAGCTGTTTTTTTTGCCTGTTGTTAAGGATAATAATTTTACTTACCATGCCGTTACATCAAATTTTTATCACATACGTCTAAATTTGGGACAACTTAAAGTCAGACTTTCTATATATATAAACATATTATATTACATTCTATCTTATTGTAGGATATTGTAGTAATTGTATCAAGGGATTTTACAAACCAGAGTCTAGTACTGACCTTTGTCAAAGAAAAACAAATATAACGTAAGTATCTCTGTACTGTGTTTGTGTCTTTCATTTTTAATGAGGTGGTTTTTGGATGTGTCGTTGTGAGTGTGATTGAAACACTAAATAGCTTTATGTCATATTTGGTTTTTTTTAAAATTATGAATATTAATAAGAGAGCATCTATTGTCACATAATTTGAAAACTGTTAAGTTATTTATAGACGCCTTTCTCATTTCAGTCGAGGAAAAAAATGTTTATGCCTCTGAAAATATTTAAACATGATTTTTTTTTTAATAGATGTCAAGCTGGCGAGACTATCAAAGAAGGTGACAGATTTACAGACCGATCATGTGTGCCTAATCCATTCACTAAACCTTTAGTTACAACAGAAAGGACGATTACTACTATATCAACTTCAACTCACGATGGAGGTAAATTTTCTTCCTGTTTTTATTTGAAAATATATGTAGGACTCGGAACCGCGATGGTACTCCGAACCGCGATGGTCACGCTGAAGTGCGATGGTCCACGCTGAAGTGCGTTGGTTAACACGCTGAAGTGCGATGGTAACATTGTGACGCTAACTTGTTGATAACTACGCTGAAGTGCGATGGTGGTTACGCTGAAGTACGATGGTGGTTACGCTGAAGTGCGATGGTCTGCCTGTGACAATGAGTAAAAATCAAAATGTACATGAGCTGTTTAAATAAAATAACATCATTATGATTTTACCAAAGTAGCTTTTAATTTCTGTTTAGTTCAAACCCAAGACTTTAAAATCTTGATTTATTTTAATCTAATTTTGAATTTGCCAATTCTCTGATTAGTACGCATTTATTTTAGTATGGAGTCAAAAATTATGGTGTTCAATGGTGAAGAAAATTATTCAGCGTATAGGTCTAAATAAAAGTAACGGTTACGTTTTCCACCAAAAACTTTCAAATTTGCTGATTCGCCGCTGAGGAGAATACAATAAATTGGGAAGTACACGTAGGGATCAGTCATGTTAATTTCGGCCTAACATGTTGTAGACAATAAACACTGTAATCACAATAAAGTAAGGCTAGAGTGACGTTGTTAATACAAATCAGGATTTATCAAGTGGGACTAAAACAATATTATAGCAACTTGATATTGCAAAAACATTTTTAATACTAGTAAGTCTTTTCATTATTAAATTGTCCACACGAAATCGTGTGAAGCTTACTTGATGAGAAGTCAAAATTAACATTTAGAGATGAAGACATTTTATTTTTCGTGAAAAGGTTTGCGGCATACTTCCGAACACTGGTTAGCTCATCTGCAAACCAAGTTCATCATTTTGCCGCTTTGTTCCCTATGAACTGCCGCCTGACATAGTTTAAAATATTTATGTAAACTCCATCTGCACTGCTCAAAACTGTTCGGGACTTGAATCGTTCGTTACTTTATTTTTCCCTTCCTTTCCTTTGTTAGCATGAAACATTCATCTACAAAATCCTATCCTCCTGCCTGCGAATCCCTGTTGTATTTTAGTGACGTTATTTTTGAAAACGTCACAATATTCAAACAATCGCACTTCAGCGAAAGGACCATCGTACTTCGGCGCAGACCATCGCACTTCAGCGTGACCATCGCACTTCAGCGTCCCCATCGCACCCCCGAGTCCTACATATATATGTAGAATGTTTTTTCTTTGAAACCTATTTTTTTGTTTGTTTAAATGAATGGAAATTACCGCTTAAAATCAACACTAAATATACAAGTTACTTAATCTTTTTCATCAGTGCAATGAAGAAAATGTACCCAGTTTTTTGTCTTGACGTATAACAAAAGTGAGTAAGGCTTGTTATTTTTCATTTCAGAATTCCCTATAGGAGCTGTAGTTGGGTAAGTTACTTCTTTGTCATTTTTAACCGGATTTTCGAAGGAAATATCGGTTATTAAATTGGGGATGTACGACGGGCGGGCGGTCGGGTGGGCGGACGGGCGGCTGCCAAACAGTGTCTCCACAATAACATGAAAACGCTTTATTTTTTTTCAAATTTAAATATGTTGTTTCCTGAGACTTAATGAAGGTCTAGTTCAATTTTCAAGATTTTAGTATTTCTCCCCACCCCGAAACCATATATATTTTTGTATGGGACAATTGAACAAATCAAATGAATTAAAAGGCGAGTCCTCTGGGGTCAACCCCCACCCCCTCCTGTTTGAGAACTTGTAAACGGTCGAGATCCCCACCCTAAACCAAATATATTTTTGAATGGGACAATAAAACAAATCAAATGAAATTGAGAAGTCCCCTGGGGTAACCCCCACCCCCTTCTTTTTGAAAACTTGAAAACGGTCAAGATCCCAACCCCGAAACCATATATATTCTTGAAAGGGACAATTAAACAAATCAAATGAAATATAGGGGAAGTCCATGGGGGTAACCCCCAGCCCTCTTCTTTTTGATAACTTGTAAACTGTCGTGATCCCCACCCCTAAACCATATATATTCTTGAATGGGACAATAAAACAACTCAATTCAAAATGAGGGGAAGTCCCCTGGGGTAACCCCCAACCCCTTCTTTTTGAAAACTTGTAAACGGTCAAGATCCCCACCCTGAAACCATATATATTCTTGTATGGGACGATAAAACAAATCATATGAATATAAGGCGAGTCCCCTAGGGTCACCCCACTCCCCTCCTATTTAAGAACTTGTAAACGGTCAAGATTCCCACCCCTAAACCATATATATTCTTGTATGGGACAATAACACAAATCAAATGAAATATAGGGGAAGTCCAGGGGGGACACCCCCACCGCCCTTCTTTTTGAAAATTTGTAAATGGTCAAGATCCCCACCCTGAAACCATATGTATATGTATTCTTGTATGGAACAATAAAACAAATCAAATGAAATAAAAGGCAAGTCCCCTGGGGTCAACCACCCCCCTCCTGTTTGAGAACTTGTAAACGGTCGAGATCCCCACCCCTAAACCATATATATTCTTGTATGGGACAATAAAACAAATCAAATGAAATATAGGGGAAGTCCATGGGGGTAACCCCCAGCCCTCTTCTTTTTGATAACTTGTAAACGGTCGAGATCCTCACCCCTATCAGAAAATTAGATCAATAAACAAGCCAATGACCCACATGGTCGTGTTGGATTACATTTAGGTTTTACTATGTTTTACAAATGTATAGTTATTAGCATTACAAACAACCATAAACGACACATTTCTTTCCCTCAAAATTGAAATCAATCGATATACCTTTTATTTGAAAATACGAATAAATGGAACGATTTTTTTCATGATTGAAATTAAAAACATATTCATCATAGTGTATATCCATCACTTGGTGTCCGCCCGTTGTCATTCTTTGGGAACCTTGAAAATTCTATCCAATGAGTTGATCTATTGACAAGCATGACTTCTTCTTTGTTACTTAAATCAAAAACTCTTTCTGATCTATCTATACTAAAATTTCTACCAAATGTAATGGGTAAATTATGACTACCGCATCTAACTTTACATAAGTTGTGTCTTAAACCACAAGGTTATACTGTTAAATATTATTCCATAACAAATAGAGACTTATACATTCTATCATTTAAACATTTGGATGAATTGAATATTTTAGTCTTCCAATCGTTAACAAACAAATCATGGTAAACTGTTTCACATTTTTAGACAAATTACAATACTTTCTCACAAATTGATTATTCCAAGCATCACCATATCCACACTTAATTAATATATCTTTTAAATAATTTAACCATTTAAAATGATAAATAGCCAAGCCTATAATGCACTTCATACAGTGTATAAGAAATTTTCTCTTTTTATACGACCGAAAAAAATTTGCGGTCGTATATTGCTATGGCGATGTTGTTTTCGTCGTTGTCCGAAGACATTTAGTTTCCAGACAATAACTTGAGAGTATAAGTGAATGGATCTCTATGAATTGTACCACGACTTATTAAATCACATAATGAAGGTTGGGATTAATTTTGGGGTTATCGTTCAAATTGTTAAGGAATTAGGGGCCAACACAAGCATTTTTCCTGTGTCTGGTCGATAACTTGAGTAACAGTGTATGGATCTCTATGAAATTGTAACACAAGGTTCCATACATCAAAAGAAAGGTTGGAATTGATTTTAGGGGTTATGGCATGAACTGTTTATGAAAAAAAATGAAAACAACACTTTGAATAAATTCATGCGTCCGAAGCACTTTTCTGGATTTACCTTCATCAGGAATGCTCAAAGCCAAATATTTGAAAGCTGAGGATGTACAAGAACCGAAACACTTTAAGAGTTATATGACCAAAAAATACCTAAAAAAATAGCCATATTCATCTAAGGCCAATTTTGCCTCAGGGAGTTGAAACCTTAGTTTCTTCATAATTTCAAAATCTATAAACGGACAATTGTAGAAAACTTTGTTATAAATCATGTCAGTACCGAAGTGCTGACATCTGAGCTGATGATACCATCGGGGACTGATAGTCCACCAGCAGTGGTATCGACCCAGTGCTGTTAGGGGCAAAAAAGTTGTAAAAAAACAAGGCTTTTCTGATTTCCAGATAATAACTTGAGTATAAGTCTGTGGATCTCTATGAAATTATACAAAGAGGATCCATAACAGAAATAGAAAAAAAAGGTTGTGATTGATTTTGGGGGTTATGGCCTTAACCATTTAGGATTTCTTGAAAAGTCCTGAATTCTTTGGGTTCTTTAATATGCTGAATCTAATTGTATTTAGATTTTGTATTTTGTTGTTCCGTTTTTAAGTTGGTGTACATTGAGGTCCAAAGGTCCAAAATTAAACTTTGTTTGTATTCATCAGAAATTGAATTATTGGGGTTCTTTGATATATCGAATCTAATCATTTTATTTTGGGTCCCGTTTTCAAAGTGGTCCATATTAAGATCCAAAGGGTTCAAAATAAAACTTTGTTTGATTTCAACAAAAAATGAATTATTTTGGGATCTTTGATATGCTCATTCTAATTGTATTTAGATTTTGGATTTTGGGCCTCGTTTTAAATTGGTCCACATTGAGGTCCAAAAGGTCCAAACTTAAACTTTGTTTGATTTCATCAGTAATTGTTGGGGTTCTTTGATATGCTGAATTTAACCGTGCATTTAGATTTTGGACTTTGGGCCCCGTTCTCAAATTGGTTAACATTGAAGTCCAAAGGGTCCAAAATTAAAATTTGTTTGATTCCACAAAAAAAAAAAAGAATTCTTGAGGCTCTTTGATATGCTGAATCTAATCATGTATTTAGATTTTGGATATTGGACCATAATTGTAAATGTCTAATTTCAAATTTGTAAGGTTTTAAACAATATTTATTTTGTATCAGAAACCTATGCTATGTCAAATATTTAATCACAATCAAAATTCAGAGCTGCATCAAGCTTGAATGTTGTGTCCATACTAACCAATAACAGGAAATATCAGTTCACAAACAGTTATCGTAGTATGGGCTACAGAAATGATTAAAGAGATAAGCCATTCCACATTATAAATCCATTCAATTCATATAGATTTTCTATTACATTAAAATGCGTTCATGCATTCATTAACTGGCAGTTGACTTTTTCTTTATCGAACAACTTATTTTGGAATCATATTCGCCCTCAAATGTCCATTTCTAAGAAAATTTCATAGATTTTTGTTTACTTATATCTCAAGAGCATAACTAGTAAGGTGAAAATGATCACCAGGTCTTTTTTTTTGAGTTAGTGCTACGGAAATGTTTTTTCTTAGCTTATTTCGAAGTTTTTGGTTAAAATAGTAAAAAATTTAAAAGGTAAAAATATCGGAATTTATTAAGTATTGAGAATCATTTTAATATAAAAAAAAATGTTCAGCAAAAAAAAAAAAACAAATAAAAAAATTGATCTATAAAAATTCAACAAAATCGTCAATTAATTTCTTGTAGCAGTTATTGCCCTTTAAAGATGATATCCCATTTTTTTGCGGAAACTATAGCAGATAAAGATAATCCTTAAGTTGTAAAAATTATCAACAACATAAGATCTACAAATAAGTCAATGAAGCGAACATCGTCAAATTGCCCCCTTATAGGAATTATTGCCCTTGAAATACCATTTTACCATTTTATGTTTTTTTAATGAAAGTATAACAGAGAGTGAAAATTGTGAATAAAAAAAATATTAAGCAAATTAGATCTACAAATAAGTCACATGGCCGAAATTGTCAATTGACACCTTATGAGTTAAAGGCTATTTGCCTTTAACATCGAAAACTATAGTAGATATATAGAAACTGTGCACAGCAAAAATTGATCAGCAAAACAAGATGTGCATAAAAATTATATGCAAACATTACTGCAATCGTTGGTTATTGGCCGTTAATGATGATTTTTACTTATGTGTTGTCTACTATCTCAAAGTGTATAATATATATGTAGGTCTTAGAGGCCTCTTATTTAATTACTATTACTGTGGATTCATTGATATTCGTTGGATTCTAATTTTCGTGAATTTCGTGGGTACAGGTGAACCACGAATTTAAATGCTCAACGAATAACAAATTTTCAAAACTTTGCCAAAACAACGAAATTAAACATCCAGGAAAATGCAAATTTTCCTCAATTAACAACAATTTGTTCCCACGAACATAATTGAATCGACAGCAAATACCATTTATTAGTCAAATGAAATAGACATGTAAGAAGAAATAACGCGACGAACCACTGTCAAAGAAATTTTATGTTAGAATTTGTCGTAAAAATTCTTTATGACAGTTGCACTAAACTTGCTATATAAACCACACATTTTACTTATAAGTTTATATAAAACAAAATGCCAAAAGTTTCATCTCAATTTTTTTTTTCGTTTTGCATTTCAGTTCGATATGTGGTGGTGGCGCTATTATTCTTCTAATAGTTATAATAATTTATCTCATAAAAAGGAGAAGAAAAAAGCGACCAAGCAAAAGAAAGAAAGAAAAAGGTAAATAGATCTTAGATATGATTCAACAAGCTACAACATAAAGAGCATTATGATTATTTTTGAGTATTTTTATCACAATGTATCTATGTGAAGTAGTCCTGACCAGTCAGTTCAAATTTACAGTAATCTTAAACTAACATATTCTGTACTGTACAAGGGTTAGCGAAGTTCTCATTGTTATGAAATCGGACATTTCAAATACCTATACAATAGTCACTATAAATCCTTGTGCAGCCTTATCAGTTATGTCTGCTCAAGGGATTATGATAAGAAGTAAAATAACAAAAATACCGAACTCCAAAGAAAATTAAAAATGAAAAGTCCCATAACAAATGGCAAAATCAAAAGCCCAAACACATCAAACGAATGAAAATCAACGGTCATATTCCTGACTTGGTACAGACATCTCCTTACGTAGAGTATTACGACTGGTGTTGCTCAACCATTAATACATAGAGCAAAGGGTATGGAGTTTTCTTGACCTTTTTTTTTTTACTTTTCTTTGTACTATAATAACAATTATTTTTGTCGTTAGCCCTAATGTGTGCGACAGAAAATATGTTTTATTGCAAAAGATTGTAGAAAATTATGCTTAGCTCTTTGATCTCTCAGGTGTGTCGTTCTCGATCACGTTCTTTATGAAAAAGAGGCAAAATTAGTACCGATCTTCAACTTTCTTAATCTATTTGGCATAATCCAAACAATGCAGGAAACACTCGTCATTCGAATCCAGAGTCAGTTGTTGTGACGATAGGGAATACGACACAATTGATCAAATTTTGACAAAGACGACTTTTCTGGTATCCTACCATGAAAACCTGTGTCTTGTAAACTGAGACATTTTTTTTTCTGTACTACATTGAACCAGCAAACCAATTCCGTGACGTCAACTGTTAACTTTGTGGAGTGTCAGTTCAGTCGACCTTATGATAAACATGCAGATGAAGTATTCATTTTACAAAAAATGAATAAGAAAAAGTCGGGCGTATAATGCATAACGTAGACTGATGACATACGATGGGAGGAAGGGTATGTTTCTCCTTAGATAGGCGAAATTGATATTAATAAAAACAAGGGCAATGAAGCAGACATTTAAAGTTCAGTTGTGTCTAAACTGGGTTTCGTGAGATATTTCGGATCCAAGCACTCGCTGCATCGTGGGTTTTTATCTACCAGGACATCACTCATGTGGAAATTGGTGCATTGTCTTGGTTTTTATGCACCCACCGCGTCGGAGAAGGTATTAAGTTTTACGACCCACAATTAGTTTCCGTTCTCTAACTTTATTTTGCCTCAACCAAATGTTATGAGACTTATACACAATGCTTATTACCACCAAACACAGATAAAATTTGAATTTGGGTGGTGTCACTTTCACCATTTTTGAGTTATGTCCCTTTATAAATGGAAAACTTGCTAAATTTTCCTTTTCCTCACTCGAAGTTTAGATTGCCTCAACCAAATGTTATAAAACTTATACACCATGCTAATTACTACCGAAGTTCGAATTTGGGTGGCGTCACTTTCGCCGTTCTTGAGTAATGTCCCTTTGTAAATTGAAAAATTGCAGAATTTGCCGTATTTTTACAAGCGGGGGCATCTGTGTCCCATAGACACTTTCTTCTTTTATTTTGTACGAATTTGGGTACACAAGGATGGATCATAAAAGGTGCTATAGATATTCGCATGTAACAAATAATGATTGCATTGTTTGTCGTAACAACAGCAAATTTGTTGTGTAGAGAAAAATAATAAATCTCAAGAAAATGCTTCTTCAAAAATTGATCCACTCATATAAATTGTCTTGTTTTGGTTCATATGGCTCGTGTTTTACTGGCACCATCCTATACTACACCAGTAACCTGCAGTGTTTTTTCCATTTGATATTGTTAGGAATTTGATATTGTAGTCATTTTGCGAAATTTTCTTTGTTTTTCATTACTGGCGATACCAAGGTCCCAGTTAAAGTATATTTTTACGGGGCGATCATCCTGAGCAATCTTGAGATGGATTTTACTTCCTTGAGGATCCTTGATTGCCTGAGTTTGCTGTAAGTTTAAGAAATAACAGGCATAGGTTTTTTTTTGTAGTGATTGGTTTTTGTTTGATGTACAGACTTGTGGTTGAAGATATCGCTAATATTGATAGCATTTAAAATCCTACGTGCAGTTTTCGTTAAACATCGTCTTCTATTATATGCCAGTATTTGTAATAGGTTTGATAAGTCAGGAACCTGTTGTTCAGTGGTTGTCGTTTGTTAATGTGGTTCATAAGTGTTTCTCGTTTTTTATATAGATTAGCCCGTTGGTTTTCCTGTTTGAATGGTTTTACATGTGTCATTTTTGGGGCCCTTTATAGCTTGCTGTTCGGAGTGACCCAAGGCTCCGTGTTGAAGGACGTACTTTGACCTATAATGGTATACTTTTTACAAATTGTGACTTGGATGGAGAGTTGTCTCATTGGCACTAATACTTCATCTTCTTATATCTATTGATAAGTCTTTATATTACGACATCTATTGCAACTAAACGGAATTGATATCTATAACGGGACAGGATTTTTGCCGCTTTGCCAAGTTGATAAGTTGTTCAGGTTTCATTCCAAGTGGTTTGCATAATACAGTTAAGAGGGGTTTACTCTGTCTTTAATTGTCATATGCCAACAACAAACATTTGAACAGCTATTGGTAATAGTTTACCCATGTTTATGAAATTATATCTTTTAGATATAGGAGAAAAAAGAGAAACAGAACTCTTAAAAAGTGGAACTGAGCACGAAGAACAGAAAGACAGTAAGTAGAATATGTGTATATATTACCACATGACATGACCTAGAATTTAATATACGATCAGGTTAAAGTGTTCCCTTGGTCTCGTATGCCTCTTTTTTATGCCCCCGCCGTAGCGGAGGGGGCATTAAGTTTTACCCTTTTCCGTTTGTACGTCCGTACTTCCCGAAATTGGTTTACGTTTTAACTTTAGTTTGCCTCCACCAAATGTTATGAAACTTATACACAATACTTTTTACCACAAAACTCAGATAAAGTACGAATTTGGGTAGCGTCACTTATACCATTCTTAACTTATGCCCCTTTAAAACGTTATATGCAAGCGGTTATAGATCATGAGGTTACTATTCATCAACTTATTTCTTTTTATATGTCTTGAATTAAAAATTAAGCTATCTTTTGTCTTTCATGTTTTCATTTCCCAGAAGGAAAAATAAAAAAAAAATCTGCTTTGTATTTTCTTAATTGAAAATTAAAGGCATCAGACGTTACCTATGTTCAAATCTCGTTAATGCATTTAGAATATTTACATCAAGATAAAACAAAAACCTGGCGGAATCACAGAAATAAAAAAAAATAGAATGCAATAAAATTATTTATTTTTGCTGTTTCAAAAAACGAAATCGAATAGATGAGCATATACAGAGACCACTGGAGAAGAACATAGGATTGCAATAGTGACGCCATACACTTTTATCTTTGCTTATTATACGGAGTATTTCCGATTTCAATTTGCTTTAATATATACATAAAAAAGTATAACAAAAATACCGAATCAAGGCAAATTCATTAAGGGGAAATCCATAAAAACTGACGAAATCAAGCGCTATCAACTAATGGAACAAGTGAAAAACAACTGCCATATTACTGACTTGGTACAGGCATTTCCTGAAGAAAACGGTGGGTTAAACCTTGTTTTACAGCTAGCTAAACCTCCCACTTGTATGACAGTTGTTTATAGTTCCGTTATATAGACAAAATTGGGTGAACAACCCAAACCAACAATATAGCTATAGGTTAACTTGACAATAATTTGGATCCAGCAGCCAAAACTGTGTAAACATACATCACAGACATACAACACAGCTGACTAAAAAATTCAAACAAACATACAAATTAATCTAACAAAGACGCCAACAAAAAAGGTGAAGCAGATAGAAAATTTGACAATGTCGTTGATAGAACATACCGTATATAGTATACACTTTCTCGATAAAGTAAAAATTAAGTAAATGTAAATACAAGGGTAAACAAAATAGAAACAACACTGTAAAAACCCTTTGTGTCCGAGTTGCACCTGGCCACCGTTTCACAAAAGGTCGTAAATCGTGAAATAGGTCGTACGACCATCTTAACGATATGCGACCGTTTCACAAATATTTACGATTTACGACTTACGAGAAATATTGGTCGAAAATTCCCGACTGGGTCTAAGCAGTCGTAAATCGGTAAAATTGCAAATAGCGGGAATAATGAAAGTCGTAGACTTGCGTGAGGTTCAATTGTCAGTCTAACATTAAGAAGTCATGCAATTCCAACACTTCATCGGCTGAGAAATCCTTTTATTTTTTAATAATTTGAGCTCCTGCCATTCTGTCTCAATACTTGTAAACAATTTATCTCCCTTGAAAGACTTTAAAAATAAGAAACAAAACGGTAAACGGTCATGTATTACGATACGTGTTTTTCATCTATGAAATTGAATAATAAATGTCTATCCTGATAGAGTAATTATCATATCTGCATTTACGACAGATTTTTATTTTCATAATCGTTTACTGAATTCATGTGTTGACTCTTAAATATTATTATGTACATGGAGTATTTAAAAGACAAATAAAGGTGAAGGTACTCTTTTATATTCATGTATATATAGACGTGGGCACGGACGTGGGCCGTATTCGTCAACTAAACCTGTAAACAAGAGTTCGCACGAAATGTCCAGCCTGCTATACTAATCATGATTGAATATTCGTTGAAAGTCTTTAGTCTTTAAATACACGGATTGTACTCCATATAACAAATGCTCAGTAGTGCAGGAGAAAGGTCCAAACAATGAAATTTGAACATTAGTATGTGAACAAATTATGATGAAAATGCAAAGAGATAAGAACACAACAATCATCCGAACTAAAAAAAAAATATAAATCTCCTGTATTTGTTTATCTCATGAGGTCAACATCTGAAAATCGTCAAATTGGAACATTTTGTTTATAAATACATCTTTAGCATTTTTCTAGTACAAAAATAGTAACAAAATTGCTAACAGGTAATAACAAAAATTCCCATTGAATTCATTTCACATCATGGTCATGATGTTACAAAAAGTCTTTTTCAGTTTTTTTTAAGCTCACTCCGACCAGGAACATATATATTAGATATACTGATCCCAGCCCCGACCGTGCAGATAAGTAATATATATACTTCACGGCTCCTGTGTAACTTGAGTTTTCTTGTCAAGTAAAGAAAAGGGAAATACGCCTTTGCGTTGTAAAAGGTTTATAGCTTTTAAAATATTACTAGTGACTTTTTTTTTATATTTCAGGATTTCTCTTAAATTATAACATATTTTGGAGAATTGCGTTTTAATGCCGATCTTTGATTGTATCTATAAAACTTATTCACAATTGTTATAAATTCGAGACGATTTAGAACTTGACCTGTCTAATGTTGAACACTATATATTGCCATCAAAGTGTGGTTTCTTCTTGTTTGATTGCTGTCTTATTGACGTTTACCCCATATGGTATCGACTCTGTTTGCTCCAATAACACTTTGTACCTAGGTACGTTTACACACATTTTTTATGTCAGTATTGTTCCCTGTCAGTGGCATGGGAGAGGGCAAACTAGGTAACGTTGTATGAGGGGCCATGTAAAAAGTCTATGCATTTACCATACATGTAATTCCATAATGGGGCCCAGTTCCATTTCCCCATGCAAATCTGCGTCAAATCATCTCTTTTATTAGTATTTTAACCAACTTTCGTTATCCAGTATGACGCAGACCTGAGCTTTTTGTGGTGAATTCTTTTATTTCGAGTTCAATTAAAAAGATCCAATGAAGTAGGTAAGCCAGATAATATCATAACAGCACAATGATTGACCCAGGTAAGTGTTTAATCAGAGGCTTTAAGGACGTAGTGAAAATTTCATGTTGATTATTACATAACAAGGCGCTTCTATATGCCTGTATTGCTCACCAGTGACCAGGATAGAGTCAGAGATAATATACTCAGTAAGGCTCTAGATTTCAATCAAACTATAACGAAGGAAACAAAAACATTAATAAACGACAACTTGATGACATAGTTAGTTTTCTTATTTGAATTGTTTTTCTTTTGTCATTTCGTGGTCTTTTATAGCTTATTACAGGGTATGGGTTTTGCTAATTTTTGAAGGCCGTATTGTGACATATAATTGTTAACTTTAGTTCTACGTCATTTAGTCTCTGTTGGAGAGTTGTCTGGAGAGTTGTCTGATTTGCAATCATACCAACATCTCCCTTTTTACAGCGGATGACCGTGAGGGCATTCAGGTGTATTGTTCCCACGTGACTTGCATTATTGACTAATAACCGAACGTATTTCGTATAGGCCCCTAATTATGCGGATATTATCGAGTGCAAAATAACATTCCCCTTTCGCATGTAATATATTAATTTCATCAATAAATATCCTTGAAAATAATTTTTAAGAACATGGATTAATGATATGAAAATATTTTGTCGTGAGAAATATATATATATATCAATAACAAATGGAGAATACAGAAAATTTGTGTTAACGCATGCGGAAGAATATATCAAGAACGTTTTGAGGGAAAACATGAATGCCAACTAAAATCCAATCTTGGACTTGGACTATCACTGCACTGTTATTAGAATAGTAGAATAGAATGATATACAAATTGATGAAAATTATATATAACTGTTATATACAAATAATTATATAATAAATAACAACAAACCAGAGTAAACCGATAACAAATGATTATATCACTACAATATAATAGTTATTACGGTGAGGTTGAATTCCCTGTCATTTATTTATCATTCACACACGATCTCAGTTGTCTCAGAAAAAAAATACATGTACCTTAACCTCACTTTCATGTATGGACTAGAGATGTAATTTTTATACGACCGCAAAAAATTTTGCGGTCGTATATTGGTATCACGTCGTCAACGTCGTCCGCGTCGTCCGAAGACATTTGGTTTTCGCATAAGTTAATAGAAATCTATGAAATTTAAACACAAGGTGTATGACCACAAAAGGAAGGTTGGGATTGATTTTAGTGGTTATGATCCCAACAGTTTAGGAATTAGGGGTCAAAAAGGGGCCCAAATAAGCATTTTTCTAGTTTCCGGACAATAACTTGTGGAATGGTGTATGGATCTCTCTGAAATTATACCACAAGTTTCCAAACCACAAAGGGAAGGTAAAAATTGGCTTTGGGGGGTTATGGCTCAAACCGTTTAGGAATTAGGGGCCAAAAAGGGGGAAAACAAGGGTATCCTGGTTAATGGACAATTACTTAAGTACAAAACATAATTTTAAAGCAGTGTAAGGGAATTAAGTAATTCAAACACAACATTTTTAATTACCTCCCTTACACTGCTTTTAAATTATGTATAAAGAAATAATGGATTGTCTTGAGGTGATTAGCTGTCAACTTATTTTAAGAAGTTACTATTTTAAAAATGCTGATGAAGGTAATTTAATTTTAGCCATTATTATGTATGTCATTTTTTATTTTAAGACTTTTATGATGTATTTAAATGGGTTATTATGGTTGCAAACTCCATCGGAAATTTGAATTGAAATTATGACCATATCTTGAGGGAAAGAATTTTTTTTTGGAAAAGGGGGGGGGGAGGTTAAAAAAATTTGGGGGGGTGGGGACAATTTGTTCTGAAGATTTCAGAAATTAAAAAGAAAATTTCTTCAAATATTTTTTTTTTTTCCAAAAAGAAAAAAAAGGGGGGGGGGGGTAAACTATTTT